TTCAGCAATTTGTAAAAATTTATTTGATTATGCGCTAACTCTTCTGCTGTAGCGATTTGTAAATTCTCAAAATAGGTTGCATGTAGATTTTATACCTAAAGGTGGGAGAAACTTTGGTTTTAGTCTTTCTACTTTCTTTCTCCTAGCTCAGCATTCAGATTTCTGGGCTACTAGAATATTTCATGACCCTGCTAACATCCTTGCAAACTGTCAGCATAGCTTCATGCAGAAAAGGTGCCTGTACATTATCAGTGAGCCACAGGGCAGGCAGCCTGAACAATTCCTCTGGCTGTGTGGATTTGAAATAACTTGAAGGAAAAGCTGGTGAAAAAGCACTTGCATTTTGGGTCATCTGTTCCTCCTTCCGTATATGAGAGGAGAGAAAGAAATGTCTCATCTGGGATGAAGCAAATTATTGGACTAAAAAAAAATTAATAAAATGTTCCTGAGATCATGGAGCTCCTTTCTTGCTCTCCAACGTTAGGGTATAATAAAATTTATTTTGGCAAAGAGTCTCTTGACACATCTCCCTTCTGTATTCATTACTACTGCCAAGATGTGCTTTATGCAGTTGCTGCAAGGTCTTTTTATAGCCACGCTTGTTCTCTCACTTCTCACTGCCGTTTCTGTGCGGTATATAAAGCCTGTGCTATCCAGGTTAGCTTGCTGCTCTTTATCCACAAATGCGCTCACACAGAATCCCACAGTAACAGCTTGTTTCCTAGATTGAGAGTTTAGGTTATCTCCTTCACAGAGCAAGAATTATACTTGATTTCAATACAACGCTTGGCCTATTTTCTCTCTCTTGGAAAACTAGAGCTTATTTGGCTGTAAAGAAAAATGTATAAAATTTATAAATTTATAATTTGAAATAAAATACTTTTGAAAATAAACTAGTTAAAAACATAAGATAATTTAGTGTTTCCTTTTAATCTAACATGACAGAGCTAATTGACAATCTGCCTGTAAGTGCCACCTTAAATTATGAGGAATCTCTTTCACTAACAATATGTATCTATTTCTTTTTCAGGTTCTTCTTACGATAGCCACAGTACAGTAATTCTGGATGCACACTAGCTTGGACAAATGTATTTATACGGTGACTGTGTTAACATTTGTGTTTCAAACACATTACATTACTTCCATAGCATGTAACCAGGAGCAAAAGTGGAAATACCAGTTCCTGCTCTCACCCTTCCCAAGACTTAATTCGTAAGCCAACTTTTTTTTTTAAATATTCAGAGACAGGAGAGATGATGCAGTGAGCACATCATCACATGCCCACGGGGAAGACAGTTATGAATTTCAAGTGCAAAACCTTCCTACCATCTGTCTGACTGAAAAGGAGAAAACAACAGTTGCATAAAGGGAGGAGAGACTACTGAAGGAATTGTGTGTGTTTTCCTGGAAGTGCTGCAAAGACTGGTGAATACTTTTGTAAAGTAATTTAGACCTACAGTGGCGATTTTTCAGTAAGTAAAATACCCATGTCTCAAGGAGCTAAATATTCTCAGACGTTTCTATTACTGAATACCAGTTTTTAAGCACTCTACTGAAAAATATGGTAGAGTAAAAAGGAAAGGAAAACTGTAGGGTCATTTCGTGATACTCATTTGCTGATCTAGATCTCTTTTTGTATGAATTCCTTCTCAAGAAAGCAATTCCATGTGGAATAGACTGAAATGGATATCACTGTGGCAGCCACGGCTGATCACAAAACGTGAGCTATGAAGAGCTCTGTAACAGCTGAGGGACTAGCTGGTCCAGGAAGGTAGCGAAGAGTGGTCTAACAATTTCAGAGAAAGCTGAAATAAGGCGAACATGTGGATGAATAGCTGAGTGGCAGAGACAGCAAAGATAAGTTGTAAATAAAAGTGGAGAAAGAAAAAGTTTGGGCATGATGCTTAAGCAGAAGACCATATGTATATATATATATAAATATATATCTTGTTTTAGCAGCATAATGTTCAGTTCTGTGCAATGCAGTTTGAAGATGTTAACAGGTCAGAATGGTAGGATTAGGTGTTACAGAGAGTTGCAGAGAACTGCAGCTGCCAGAAGTGTGGTATCAACTGTAGTTACATACAACATTAGGAAAGGTGGTGTGTATGGGTCCAAATAAATGGTGTGATACCGTTTGTGTCAGCACAGAAACAAATGAGGATTCTCTATGTGCAAGTGGTAGTCTGCTTATGGTTTCATGCTGTGGATATGCTATCATCCACTGTGATTTGTTCTGCAATCAGAAGAAAAATCAGGCATGTCTCTAGGATATGCTCACAATACCATTCTCATGCTTAGTGAATGAATGCACAGGGTGGAGTGTGCTGGCTGCTGTTTCAGTTCCTTTGAACTTCCTGATGAGGCATCTTTTTCCTGCTGTTTCCCAACTGCCTAGCCTTGTTTTTGCTGTTTGGATCATATTCTTCAAGCAGTCTTTTACTGTGCTCTTTGTTTATCCTTTCTTTAAAGTCGCCAGATCGCCCCACTTTGTACTGGCCAGAACCAGTCTGACTTGTCTCAGCAGAGGGTGGCCTCAGCTTTAGCACTTGTGCCCTTCCCGTATACAGGCTGGGGAGGATGTCGCTGGACCCACACATCTTCTCCTGACCCCCCCGGAGGACCTTTGCTACCACCACCTCTGTCCAGAACTGGGATGTGGCACTGGTGTGGCATCAGCCTCTCCAACACTTCACCGTTTACCGCAGTGCCAGACAGCTTCCCTCTCTGTGACATGGTGTGGGAAGGCCTGCTCACTTAACCCGACGTGACATGAGGCTGAGCAGCACAGCAGGCTTTTTACTATCCATACCACCATCCACTACCTGTAGATAAAGGCAGCCTATAGAGGCAGTAACATGTTGTCACTCCACCCCAAAGATTGCAAAGTGCTGGAGTCATCTTGGTGTTTCCTACCTTTTTTTTTTTTTTTTTTTTTTTTTTGTCTTTCCTGAAAGGGATAGACATCACCTCTTGCTTTTCCACCTTTCAAACTTTCCCTCTTTTCTACCTTTCAACTTAAAAGAAGTTGGACAATTTTACTTAACCAGAACTGAACAGGTGGAGATTAGAAGCTCAGGATCAGTTTTGGTAGTCAGTACTCCTGTATTCCTGTAACCACAAAACTGTGAAAGTATTCCAATTTCATGGGGAAGCAGGGTCCTGCAGGTAGCCTCTCCTATCTATTGCCTCTAGCAAAGGGGGCTGGCTTTTTTCTCATAAATAAGGTTTCCATGTTTCATACAAAGACAAGTAGTTGATACAGGTCATCAAAAATTCACCCTTCAAGAGACTCACAAAATGAGCCCTCGGCAGTTTCATCTTATCCCCAGCTAATAGTTACAATTCATGGAGCCCGTGAAGAGGAAAACCTTTCTGGTCAAGATGGGTTTGTTTCCTTGGAGTTCCACCCGTGTTTGTACTCCATACTATCTGGCTGACTCACCAGCCAAACACATGAAATCTTTCTCACCTCCCAGATATACAGCATTACATACTTGTGTAATACCCTTGGCTTCGGCCAGCCTGGTTGGCGTGCACAGGGCTCTGACAGATACCTGTCTGCTTGTGAATGCTTAGGATTTGAGGACTCCCATAATGTGAATACATATATATGTACACACAAAAAAAAAAAAGTGAGCAAAGCTACTTGAGCTGGAGCTCAGATACATTTTCTTACCTTTTCCCTTACCCTCACCCTCAGAGTCCTTTCCTATTCCCAAGTTGCAATGCGATGCCTGAGAGGCCCCTGAAATGGCAATTTATTTGGACTACAAGATTAAAGGATTTACATTTTACAAGTCGTAAGAAAATAAGTAAGCAAAGTACATCATTCATTAGGCTTGTGTTTACCTTTAATATTTGTTCATTGGCATTTGGTAAGCGCCATTTTGTTAAATCCCTAGCATTCTGCAAGTCTCTTCACAGACCAAAACAAAACGAGGGCAGCTGAAGAATGAAGGGCAGCAGGACATGGTGATCCTTGAAATGAGGCAGTGGACACAGCCTTTATAGGACTTGAAAGAAGTATTTCAAACAAATTAATTCTACCCTTGTGTAAATTAAGTTTAGTAAAGTACTTATGTGTCAGTGAGCACTCTTAACCACCTGCAGATGAGAACAGCAGGTCCTGGGTGGTGATGCAACGCACTTGACCAGTGACCTCTTGTACAGAAATGGAGCAGTGTGTACTTCCTAACAAGATTTCAGTATTTAGGTAACCCAACTCAGTAATCTGACCTGGTTTTGCCACTTGTTTTTTTTTTTTTTAATAAAGCAAAAACTGCTGCCAAAGGCAAGGCAGATGAAAACAAAGGATAAATGTAAATCTGCACATGTGCAGTGCAGTGTAGTGTTTACTTCAGGTCACAGTAGCAGTGTTTTGTCCTTGGCTATTAATCATCTACGGAAATGGCTAGGCAAGGGAAGGGCTGTTTCAGGCAGGGGCTGGCAGTTTCTGACATAACCCTCCTCCCACTTCCAGAGACACACGGGTCAGGAGTCAGGTTTTGATGGGCATTTTGTGGTGACTGCCAACTCTAACTCAGCATGCAGTTCAGCACCCCAGCCAGCTCTGAACCGCGGCCAAAGCGATCCCCCTGGCCTCCGGCCTCCGGTCCCATTCCCTCTCCTGGCCTGCACCGACGCGCTGCTGTCAGTTCAGGAAGACTGAATCTGAAGATACCCTGGATGCTCCAGAAAATATCTGTCAGGCTATCCAGTTACCGAGCTCATTCTCTGTAGCTCCTGTTGGGCGATCACTAGGCCCCAAGCTGCTGGGCGGCGGAGCTCCCCTCACGGGCAGCAGCCCCTCACGCCCCTCGGCTGCCGCAGCAGCCGAGCCCCCCCCCCAGCCCCCCGGGCTGGGCCGTGTGCCTGGCTCAGCGCTCGCTGGGGACGGGGCGCTGCAAGGGAAAAGCTGCGAGTGCCTTTCCCCGCCAGCGGCCCCGTTCCGGCGGCCATTCGGGTCCCTCAGGGCTCCCCCCACACCCACACCCCGCCCCGCCCCGCCGGAGGGGCGGGAGGCGGCGCGCGCGGTGACGCGGCCCGGCGCGGGCGCTGCCGAGCATGGCGGCCATGAGCGGGTTCCTGCTGCGCGGCCTGCGCGCCGCCCGCCCGCTCCACCGGCACCTCCGCACGGCCGCGCCGCGCCCCGCCTTCGCCAAGGAGCTCTTCCTAGGGACGCTGCGGAAGGTGAGGGGCCCGCCGGGCCGGAGCGGGGGGGTGTGTGGCGCTGCTGGGGCCGGCGGCGCCTCAGCGGACGCCCCGAGGTCGGTAGCGGCGGCGTGCGCGGGGCCGCCCTGTGGGGCTGGCGGCTGCCTGCTGACCCAGCGGCGGCGCTGGGAACCGGGGGGGAGGGCGGGAGAGACCCCGCGGGGCTGCTGGGGCGAGGCAGCCTGGCCCCCTTTCCTCACCAGCGCCGGGGTCCTGAGCTCTATTTTGGCCTCGCACCGTCTGCCCGTTCCCGCCCGTAGCGAAATCACAGAATGGTTTAGGTTGGAGAAGGCCCATGGAGTCCAGCCGTTAACCCGGCACGGCCATGTCCACCGCTCAACCAGGTCCCTGAGTGCCTCATCAACGTGTCTTTTAAAGATCTCCAGGGATGGTGACTCCAGCACTTCCCTGGGCAGCCTGTTCCAGTGATTGACAACCCTTTCAGTGAAGAAATCTTTCCTAATATCCAGTCTAAACTTCCTACGGCACAACTTGAGGCCATTTATGCTTGTCCTGTCTCTTGTTACTTGGGAGAAGAGACTAACCCCCACCTCACTACATCCTCTTTTCGGGTAGTTGTAGAGATCAATACGGTCTCCCCTCAGCCTCCTTTTCCCCGGGCTAAACACCCCCAGCCCCCTCAGCCGCTCCTCACAGCACTTGTGCTCCAGACCCTTCACCAGCTCCGTTTCCCTTCTCTGGACACACTCCAGCACCTCAAGGTCTTTCTTGTAGTGAGGGGCCCAGAACTGAACACGGTATTCGAGGTGCAGCCTCACCAGTGCCGAGTACAGGGGGTCGGTCACTTCCCAAATCCTGCTGGCCCCACTATTGCTGGTACAAGCCAGGGTGCCCTTGGCCTCCTTGGCCACCTGGGCACACCGCCGGCTCCTATTCATGGGGCTGTCGACCAGCACCCCCAGGTCCTTTCCCACCAGGCAGCTTTCCAGCTGCTCTACCCCAAGCCTGCATGGGGTTGTTATGACCCAAGTGCAGGACCTGGCGCTGAGCCTTGCTGAACCTCATTCAGGTGGCCTTGGCCCGTCGATCCAGCCTGTCCGGATCCCTCTGTAGGGCCTTCCAACCCTTAAGTGGAATGGAGAAAATGAGGCGTCGCTGCATAGTCTGCTGAACACAATTCCAGTAATGACTGCTGCTCCCTATTGCAGTCCAGGCCTGCTCTCTCAGGCATTTCATTTGGCCTCTCAGCTGAAACTGGGCTAAATAAATTGACCAGTTTACACCTGTGCACACAAAATGCATGATGTCATTCTAAATGCTCAAGAACAACCAGCATCTGAAGGGCTTCTTTAAACCACAGTTGCCTGTTCTTGCAAGCCTAGCAAATGCCCTACAGAAACACAAATGTCTGTTTACATTCAGCTCTGGGCATTGAAGGATTGCATTCCACAAAATTGATGTCACTTTATCTTCTGTTTCCTTCAAGGAACAAGACTTACAATTTTTTTATAGAAAGCTTGAAGTTCTTGTTGTGGCTTGAGATGCCACTAGACAAAGACGTCACGAATTTGGTATATAACACTGTATTAAATCAGTACTTGTTAATCCAAGGGTTGGAGTATGCATTTTTCAGAGTTTACAGGATTAAATAAATTGAAAGAAGGAATAACTCAAATCCATTGTAATGAGTTAAACAATAAAGTCACCCAAAAGAGACCTTGTCAAGTAAAGTGTTAAGACAGTTAGGAGTCAGACTCTATCTCAGTAACCCCAGTTCATACAGGCTTTTTTTTTTTTTTTTTTTCCTCTCAAATTTCAATACAACAGTTGACTGAAAAACTGTAGCATTTACTAGATCCTGAATTTTTGGAGCTGACATGATTCTTCAGACTGTGATGAACAGTTTTGTTTGGACAGGTGCAGATTCTTCTGTTTAAAAGGGCAAAGACGATAAAAATCAGAAGAATGCTTCTCATGTAGTCTTTTACTTCTTGTGTTAGTTGCTTGGATTTTTTTTACTCAGGCCTGTCAGGTCATACTGCTTCCAGTTTATGACCAAAATGCCTTGGTGATGATAACGAGCAGCATGGAACTCACTAACCTTTGTACTTGTGACATTAAACAGGTGGAATGTGCTGTGTGTTTCCAAGGGACAGCATTTATGTGCTGAGCTTTGAAAACATAATAATAAATTGGTTCTGATACAAATTAAAGTTAACTAATTTTTTAAATCCCAAAGTGACATTACCTGAACAAAATTCATGGTTGATTGAGTCTTGCATCCTCATAGTTCATAAAATCTCTTTATTTCTCCCTAGTGTTTCTGTTTTTCAGTAATACCTTTGATCGGGTTTTGGTATGTAGTAGAGTCCTGTGGATTTCCTCAGATAAGGCTGTTTCTGTTACTGAACATTTTCCACAATTCTTAATGTTTACCATTTTTTAGAGTCTAGTACTTGAAAGGCATATGTTCTTGAATTTTTATTTTAATTGCATGATTCAAGCTTAAAAAAAAAAAGATAATAATTTCCCTCTTATTTTAGGAAGAAGTTTTCCCTTATCCAGAAATTAGCCGTGAAGAACTAGAGGAGATCAACCAGTTTGTAGTCCCTGTAGAAAAATTCTTCAGTGAAGAAGGTATACTTATTAGTTTCTTATTCATGTAAGTGATTTAGTGATTACAAAATTATTTAACTATAGCAGTTGAATAAGATTATTATACTTAAAACACATTGTTTTATTCATATGACTAGTTATTGCTAGTCGTATAGTGCTGCTGGTTCTATAGTCATGTTCATTTATGGCTTTTTTATATGGAGTATTTGGATGCTGATAAAAAGCCATAATTCTTCAAAAGAGAATAAATAGAGAAAACAGGAAGTAAAAGAATTCTGGGATAGAGGTAAGATTTGAAATTATTTTTAGCTTGGTTGAATAATGCTATTTACCGCTTCATATATTGTGAATTTTTTCTGAAACTTTTTAAAAACTGTCCTACTGTACTTAAACTGGATTTAGTAAAATTCAGCAGAGACATTAATAGATGAGAACTCATTGAGAAGCTATGAAAAATCAAGAGCATCTATGTTTTTTTAACATTACAGTAGCGATTCTATTTGGGAAAAGTTGTATTAGCCGTGTGTATTCCGGATAGCGTTGCAGGGTGTTTCTTACTGGTGCCATAGATAAACCAATTCTAGAACAGTTGTAGAAAATTGCTTTTTACAGACAGCAATTTCCAAGACAGTTAAACAGTAGCATCTCAGATTTCCTGCTGACAAAGATACTAGGTCTAAATTGCCAAACACTGCAGGAGTTTGAAGAAGCCTCTGATTGTCAGAGTCTACAATTTATGGATCCAGGTAATTTTAACTATAAAATTGTAGTGTTGCTCACTGACGGTAAATTAAGAATTCATGCAGATTACATTTTTTAATGCTTTTCTCTGTTGGGGAACATAATTTACTGAGTAAAAAACCTGATATTTAAGGGAGGAATAAAAATGTCAAATTACAGATTTTTAACTGAAGGTGGAAACTGATGATCTTTTTTTGAATTCACAACTATTTATGTTTAGTTATTCAGGGTAACTTACGGGTGTGGTAAAAATAGGTTAGGAGAGCAGCCTTAAACACTTAGCAACTTGATAGGATTGGCCTTGGGCGAGGAAATTCATCTCAGAGTCATTGTGAAGCCTGACAGTGTCCAGACACCACGGGTAGGTCTGTATGGGCGTAATGGGGGAACAGGTGAAAAAACACCTTCCTCTCCCTGGAAGAGCTGATGGCATACCACAAATGTGTATCTGATACTATGGAGCTAAAAAAATAGCATGGGGAGCAAAAAGTCTTTTTTAAAGTGAGTTTTCTTTCTGAATAACTTAGAAGAGCGTCTGAATATTTAGTTACCTCCCCTGTTGTATTTCATACAGAAGTTACAGCGTCATTTTACTGGGGTGAATGTGAGGTTTCGTGAGGAAAACTCCACTGCTTTTGCAGAGTTACTGCTTTTTGTGTACTTTTTGGAAAGATAGCTTGTGTTCCTTTTGCTGCAGCTTACAGCCTTTCTGAGCTTCTTAATATGATTCTTGTTTATTTTCACTGTGACGGTACCGAACAGCTCTTTCAATCCCCCCAAGAATTCAAATAACTCATAAGAACAAGATTTGTGTAATTAACACATTTATGTACCACTATTTTTTTTTTTTTTTTTTTTTTTTAATTTTCAGTCATGACCTTGACATAGTTCAGATAGAAAATCCTGGGAATACTTCGCTTATTCCAGTCACGGAATCTGCTAACATGCACATGCACAACCTGTACACGTAGAAATGTTTGGGAAAATTAAATAGAACCCAGATTTTTCCCACTTCCAAGTCCTTTGCTTGTATCTGTCATGACTTTACAGCCATAATTGGTATTCTTGGCACCTTCCAGTTAGTTCTGTATTTTGACGTGGGTGGTGTAGCAAGGTGGGCTGCTTCGGTGGGGCGTTCTCCAGGAACGGAATTGGGACTTCCTGCTGCAGTGTTTAGCATTGTCTGTGTGATTGTCATCAAAAGGCTAAAAATCACCATTTTTCACTTTGCAGGGAGGAGGACAGGCTGTGGCCGACCTTGACCAACCCACTGTATTATTGTCTTAGAGAAATCAGTTTAGGGTATGAGATTTTTCCAGTCACAAGGGGAGAAGGGCAAACAGGACAGTCAGTAAGATCAGACTGAAGTCAGAGTAATGCTTGTGAAGTTAGGAATGAGAAGTATGTCTGTGTCTGGTACAACAAGCACTGTGTCTTTTCTAAAGATGCTTCAGAAGACTAGAGGAAGATTGCAGCAGGGAAGGATGTGATTCTCCACCAGCCCCTTTTTCTGTAAGTTATTTTAGTTCTTCAGGTCCGGGTCCGCAGACTGATAGGTTAGAGATCATACTGCTGCTGGCTAGTAGCACACAGTGACCTTGGCTCTGATTTGAGAATACTGCAGTCTCAGAGATTTTTTCTGCACTAAGAAACACAGTTTTAAAATATAAAACCTTCTGTGTTTGTAGTGGACTCGAAGAAGATTGATCAAGATGCAAAAATCCCTCCTGAAACTTTAAAAGGACTGAAGGACTTGGGTCTCTTTGGCATGCAGATTCCAGAGGAATATGGTGAGTAAATGATCACAAAAGAATAACCCAGTAGTCTATATTAAGTAATGCATTTTGGGGTCTTGCAAAATCTGTGTGTACTTTTCCACGTGTAGTCATTTGACTTGGATGTCTAAATTAGGAGCTGTGGCTTCCTCCCTCGGTAATAAAGAGCTGCAGGCACCAGGAATGTCTGTTGGCTATGTAGGAAGCTCTGCATGCTCTTGCCTTGGGCACCTAAGTTAGATAACTAATTTTAGATGGTGTAAATTCCTCTTGGCATAGCATTTTCCTTTTTGTTCTTATGTTGGATGCAGCAGGGTAGCTTGACATTCTTCAGGACTTGCAGCTCTTGCTGACGGTTCCTCAGATGATACCAGGTCCAAACTGCAGTGTCGCATGGAAGTGACCTATCAAAGCTGTCACCTGTCACTGACAGAGGAATGCGTTTGACTGTATAGAAGTGTAAAAGTATAATGTCTATTTATTAAAAGTAGAGCTTTTTTGTCTAGTTTCTGTTACAAAAGAAGGAGTCTGAAGAGAAAACTCAGAGAAGACGAAACTGTTTGACTGTTTGCAGAAGATAGTTTTTGTAGGGAAGTTACCTAATTTTTGAAGAGGATACAGTGATTGCAATAATACTATATGTAACTGGAGACATGCCTCAGTAGTTACTTGGTGTTAAAGTAATACCCTATTTTTCATAGCATTTTTTTGATACACCTTTCTTTTTTATTGTATTAGACAACATAACTAGGGTTGCTGTGCTGCACTGATTTAAACAATTAAAGTGTTTATACACAAATTCGTTAAAGTATATTGGACAACTTGTATGTACTTTAATGTGATGTGATCTCTGTTGATTAATTGTTAATTAATGCTTTTGAAGTGCATTAGAAGTGGTATTAAATGTTTTTCGTAGGTATGCAGAACTAGGCAGGGTGATGTGAGAGTAAGATAGAGATTTGCAAGCTCTTTCAAGTTTTTCTTTTCAGGATAGTGTCCTGGGAGGAGAAAGACCTGGACAGAGCACCTTGGCCCAGATGGGGAGAGAGTTATTTAGGAGTTGAGAAATATATTGGAATATTTTGGAAATATATGGGAAGAAGACAGGAGGTTAGTGTCCACTGAAAGGAAGCGTTGGAAGCAGAGAACAAAAGACAGAACTTGAAGCAGTTGGAAGTGTAACTTACTATTGATTAACTGGAAATAAGTTTCCTGCTCTGTTAATTTTTTTAAAGAGTCTCAAAGGCAATATATTTGACTTTGAAATCATACTGTAATGTAATAAAATGTTATAGTTGTTTTGATCTTGTATTGTTTTGAAACTTGTGAAATAATATTCTCTCAGCTTCCAGTTTGTAAAAGGTTACAAACCATTCATCATACTTGTAGAAAATCATAGTCCTGTTGTCTTGTAAACATGTATGCTGGATATAAAACAGAAGATGGAAAGCAATCACCTTACTATAAGCAAGCTATTTTTTTCTGCACCAGAAATAGTATGCTTCTAACGAGGTTACTTCCCACTTTCTGTAGGTTGAACCTGCTGCATTTTTGTTGGTGATGCTTGTCATGTTTTGAAACAATTCAGTCATGTGTATTCAGTGCTTTGTGCATTGCATGTTTTTTTTTCATAGTGGTTTGTAATAGTGGCATATTTGCCAGAAGCATTAAAATGCAGAACATTAATGGGAAGAATGAAGCTCATGTAAATCATGGAATAGCGGCTCTCTCTAACATGGGCATCACTGGAATTACTGTGCACATCATCAGTAGTCTCCAAGCTGAATCCTGAGCCCAGTGCTACTCAGACATGGGAGAAGAAATCTGAGTGTATAGATAGGAGGAGTGCGAGTTTTAATTCATGGACACATGCTCTGAAGAAGAGTGCAAGAGGCAGGGGTTTGAATTAATGTACTGGGGAGATGTGTTCTTGCATTTATTCGGTATACATAAAATAGTGGGATTATCGAGACATCTGCTGAAACAGGATAGTCATTGTCCTGATTTACACCACTGTCTCAAGTAAGAATTACTAACCTGGACAAAAGATTATCTTGATAAGATAAAGTTGTTTATTCAGCGGTATTATATAAAATACTCTTTAAATTACAGGGAGCAGGACTTCTAGTCCTGACGACATAAAATTCTTGAACATTAGACTCATACAGATGCAGCTTTGACTTCTGTTCTTTTCAAGCTCCATACAAATAGTCTCTGCGTTTGCAGCAGCAGGTCACAAAATTCCTCCAAAAAGGATGTGATGGCGTCGAGTTTGTTTCTTGATATATTTACATTTTTTGATTAAAGACATTTTTGAAGTGTTGTATTTTATTTTTCTTTAGTACCAGCTTGGAAGGCTGCTTGGGAACCACTCGGTGTCGGTTTTGCTGCCAGGGTCATCTTCTGCCTGCTTTGTAGGGAAGCCGGGGCCGGCCGGCCTGGCTGTGCCTGGGCTCCTGTCCCCCTGCTCCCTCTGCTGCTGGTCGGCTGCAGAGCTGGGGGAGGTAGTTGGCTGGCGTTGTAACATGGCGTGGAAAGGTCACAAAAAAAATTCGTTTTATCCTGCAGGCACAGAAATTCATTCTAGAGGCGTTTTTATACTGAGTCTTTTCCCATTTTCCCATTGGATCCACACGGGTTATGCTGTATTTGCTGTGTGTGCGTGTGTGCTTGGGCACAAACACATCTGCTTTCTGAATAGAACTAAGCCCAGCACAACTCATACTTATTAAAAAAGTTACGGTTTTCACGACGCATTCTCTTGGCACAGCTGCAGCAATGTGGTACTTGTTTGTGGACATAATATACCCAGTCTATTCTCAGGTGCTCTCCAGTTAACGATGTTACATTCTTGACGTTCTGTACTTGAAAGGGATTTTGGGGGGGGAAGGGGTGAGTTAAATTGTAAGGTATCTACCTGGAATAAAACACTGTATTTGTTCCAGGTGGTCTTGGTCTATCAAATACCATGTATGCGCGTTTGGGAGAAATCACTTCCTTAGATGGATCTATCGCAGTTACTCTGGCAGCTCATCAAGCTATTGGGCTTAAGGTAATGCTCTTCTTTTCTGTCAAGTATTTCTACACAGCTTGCTTGGAAAAGGTGAGGTGAAGTTTGTTTAAATGTCAAGTGTGGGTGTAACAAGTGAGAAGGACTGGTGAAGCATCAATCAGTGGGGTGGAACATGCTGAGTCTGGGGGGCGGTGGTTCCCAGCACCCTCTGCCAGGGGCTCAGTGCAAGACTTCACGCGACAGAAAGACTGAATATGAAGTACACAAGAAAATCCTTAGTCCAGGAAACATTGAGGTGATAATTCTTAGAAAAAAATACCTTTAATGATCCCAAGTTTTTTAAATTGAGGAAACTTGATAAAAGTAGCTAGAATAAATATTGAAATAAATATCAGGGGGGCTAAAATTAAGGGGAGGTGGGACAGCCATGCAGAGAATTCAGAAGGGTGCAACTTTTTCTAGCTGAATCAGGCTGCATATTGGGGCACCTTGGAGAAGAAAACCCAAGACCACTGTGCAAGCATGTGGATTTTAAACTCATTTTCCTTATAATGTAGCCTTAGGTATCTGCCTTTTAGTGGAGGATGGATAGTAGTAGTCAGAAGCTTGAAATAGCAGTAAGTTCATTATAACAAGAAAAAAAAATCTTGATGGAATTGAGCAGGCAATGCAAATTAAAAATAGGTATTTATTCCTCACCTTACTTAAAATGTCACCATCTATAGAATAGGGCTAGTGAGCTGAGCTGGTGTGTAAAGCAGACTAAGGAGAAGTGTAGTATACAACACAGCTACTGTTACTCTCCTGCGGTGGCCCGTTTGGGCCAGTTGGGGTTAATCCTAATTTTGTCAAGTAACTGTATTTTAGCTATTTAGCCATTGATTATTTAGCTTTATCATGTATTTTGTTTGTCCTTTGTAAGAAACCTGCTATACAAAAAATAAATACAACGGAGATAAATAAAATAAGTGCACTCTCACAACAAGCTGTTGAATGCCTGTGTAATTAAATAATTTGGACCCTAAGTAAATCAAGTGTTCCGTTCTCTGATTAGGGGCTTTGAAAACTCCTGCTTTGGAGGTTATTAAAACTTTGGTGATAGCAATGAAGGTATGGCAATTTATAAAGGAAGGACTATCTCAGTGCCATTCAGAGCAACAGTTAAGTCTTCACTTACAGCATAAACACAGTGGAACCCACCTGAGAAGGCAGTCTTTAAGGATAAGTCATTTCCTGTGGGCATTTGAAGAGCTGTGTGATAATAACTGACATATTTTTTATGTCTGATAAATAATAATGTCCCGTGTTCATTAAACTGTCTCTTGTTATGCCATAAAATTTGCCAATCAAGATTCCTGAACTTGGCAAAGCTTGTCGGCTTCATTTCTTTTTACACAGGTTGATGCTGAAAAGTTTTCTAATAATTCTTTCTTTAGGGAATCCTCATGGCTGGCACTGATGAACAGAAAGCAAAGTACCTGCCTAGACTGGCATCTGGGGAGCACATTGCAGCTTTTTGTCTCACTGAGCCCGGAAGGTACTGGTTTTGTAACCATAAAAGCTTCAGAAAGCACCAAAAGACCAAAGTTATTTTTTTATTATTTTCTTCTTCATTATGGTGATGGGCTACTGTATTAAATCTTTATTATTTGGTGCCTATGGCTTCACTATACAGGTCTTTTTTTTTTTTTTTTTTTTTTTTTTTTTAAAAAAAAGTTACACTTCAAATCATGTAATTCATCTTTCCCCAAGGTGCTGTTTATGGCAGTTTCTGTTAAATTACTAACTGTTGTTGTTCCCATCCCAGGAATTCATCCACTTAATTTCTGGCATTACTGAATTTGAATTGAAAAGATATATTGTACTATGTTAGAAATAATGTGCTGTGACTGTTCTAGGATGCTTTCAGTTCTTTCTCAAAATCACAAAAGCCTGTATTGAAGGAGCTACCAAAAATAATAGGAGGAAATTTTGGTCTTTCCTTGGAGTTTAGAAGAGGCATCTTTGTAGCAGCAACTTATTTTCAAAGATAAAGTTACATTTATTGTCTTTATTCATTGACTGTTGCTGATGTTTCATATTCTGTTAATGCAGAAGAGGTACAGTTTTCTTAATACAAGCAGATGGTTTTCCGCATCATTGTGAAGGAAACTGACTGAAGGACTGAGACCAGTTGAGTTGAATCTTGCTTGTCCGTACAAAACTATAGACTGAAACTGTCTTTTCTGAAGTCTTGCCTGCTAGAATGACCTGCAGTGAGCATGTAATTTACTTGCCAATTTTTATGCTGCTGTGATGTAGATACCTCCCAACCATCAGTGGTGGTTTTTATTCAAGAGTCCTAAGGTGGGTTTTGTCCCTCTAAAAGCTGTCCCACTTGCAGGTAAAATTGAAACTAGCATGGATACTTTAACAGTGATCAATGGAAGGGGCTTGCAAGTAACACACAGGAAAAAAACGAGGGCTAACCATGTTCTGAAATCCTTCTGACATATTTATTTAGCCCAGTATTATTTTAAAAGATTGCTAGTCTTAGCAACTTTAGCTTCAGTCTTCTTAGAGACCCTCCGTTTTAGTGCACAGGCGCAATCATTTTTAGAATTGAATTTTAGAAATCTAACCCCATTGACATACCAGCTGAGATCTCGCTCTTCCAGGAACTTAACAACTGTCTTCAGCTGACAGCCCAAATTGAGCCCTTGTGGCAGTGTAATTTGCGGAAGAGGAAACCTGTTTCAGGGGGCAGATGATGTATTGCTTGTTACATTATGTAAGAAGGTGGTGATTCAAGAGAGGTTGTGAACTTTTAATCAGAGAACATAAACTTTTGATTGCTTTGTTGTAATTCACCTACTGATTTTGCTCCTGTAGAATGTATTTGATGTGCTCGAGTGCTCATTGATAGAGACTGTCACGTGTTTATTTTTTATTCATATTGAGCCTTTTTGCACTTAGGATATAAAAGTAGGGTGTGAATTTTTGAGCAACAGCTTAGACATTTTAAACTTAGTTGTGTTTTTGGATGACAGTTTCACTGTATGTTCAAGTAGCTCAGCATGTAGCTCAAAAACGTTGCTTACATGGCATTCTGAACATTCTGGTCATGTCATAAGATTGATTACATACGTGTTAATCAGCAGAAATATTCCCTCAGGTAACTTTAAGTAGAAGCAGGTTTCTTTAGAGCTGTTGAATCTAGTAAGTTTACTTGTTAGTTAAAAACTAAAATTTATAGACTATTTAATAGAGCTGTAAACATGCCTTTTTAAAGGATGGGAAGAGGGAAGAGGTGTAGTTTTGTTTATTAAAGCATGTTTATTTCTTTAAACATTGATAATTTGTTTGGCTTTTAGTGGAAGTGATGCTGCATCCATCCAGACAAGGGCAACCCTCAGTGAAGATGGGAAATACTTTTTACTAAACGGCTCTAAGGTATCCACTCACAGTCTGGAAATATGACGGGGTTTTGTTACAAGTTTACAGAAAGCATCTTTGTCTTTTGCAGCATTGCAGCATTTCAGTCAGTTGGTTTTGCTGAGTAAGAGGCTGGCTTGGCAGTCGCAACAGAATTTTGAGGTTTCCAAGCTAGTCGAGAATGACCATATCAAAAAGACAACCCATGTTGTTTTAGGGCCAACAAGAATAGAGAAAAGCACACTGTTCAGGGAATAGCCTTTGCTCAGCTCTTGGTAAGAAAGATATGAAAAGCCACTCTTCAGTTCCTTCTCTGTATGGTCAGCTCATGGTGTTCAGCTCCAGGGAGGGTTAGTTAGTTGCCCCCCTCTGACAGCACAGGCAAAAAGAAACCTAAAACCGTGTTTTCCCCTCTCTTCATCCTTCATGCCAGATTTTGTAGGTATTTTTGAAAGAAAACTTGATACTGAATTGGAAATAGGGCTGCTTGGAACATTTCTGCTAAAAGAAACAAAGGCAAAATGAATCTTGAAGAAACAGAGAGATGTATTGGATCCAACAATGTTTGCTACATTGCAGACTTGATCTGTGGTTGTTGATATACTTGTCTGGGACGTGCTGTGGGAGAAGCCATGTGTATGTGGCCTCATTCAGAGAATTTCTCATCAGAGTTGCAGTTATTTTGGACAAAGTGGTTCTGCAGTCTGTATTACCCGTGTATCCCTTGCATGCCATAAGTAGCAGGATTTCCAGGCTTTTGTGAAAATGCGCCATGCGTTTTAATTTAATTCAAATCTGTATTGCAACCTGGTTTTATAGTTGCTCTAAACTTACCATTCTGTGGTCAGCTTTCCTCAGAAATGTGTTCATAAGACACAAAACTAGTAGCAGAACGCTCATTAGCATTTAAGGGAAGAAGCAGCAATTTTTCACCACTCAGTTCTTTGCTAGTCTGTTAGGAAACACTTACAATCAGAGCAAACATACTTCTTATACATCTTTCCTCTCTCAAAACAGGTTTGGATATCAAACGGTGGCCTTGCTAATATTTTCACAGTGTTTGCTAGGACAGAGGTTGTTGATAAAGATGGACAACTAAAAGACAAAATTACTGCTTTCATCGTAGAGCGGGATTTTGGCGGAGTCAGCAATGGGAAACCTGAGGATAAGTTAGGCATTCGAGGATCCAATAGTAAGAATCACTTAAAATTGTTAACAGAAATTGTTTCAGTATTTCAGTGTTTTAATTTGTTTAGATCATCTGAGTTCAGAGACAAATCAAGATCGATTCCATATATAATGGTATGTTTTGTGTTTCTTTACGTGGCTTTTCCTATGAATCCTTCCTAATGCAGGGTCTGAAATAAGAAATCTATATTGTATAATTATTCTGTGCACATGTGAACCTTCCCTAACTATGCAGTGAAAGAAATTACTCAGAAGGTTCAGTAATTAAGTAGTTTTCATCTAGAAGTAAGTTTTCATAGGCTCTTCTTAAGCTTACTGATGATTATAGTTTTTCACCATCTATCATTTGGACTTGACTGCTGTATCAGTTCCTTAAATTAGAGAAAAAACTGTAGTTCTCTGTTTACACAGTGTATTTTGAATTATATTTTGAATATTTTACATCAGTAATTGATGTCAACTACAGTCTTTTTCCAAATTCTAACTTCTTTGGCAAAGCACGTGTAATGCTCTCAGAAACGGTGCATTAGGAAAACTTCACTTCTTGTTATGAGTAAATTATGTTCCTGAGGTTCTTTTAAATATTTCTACATAATTCAATAGCTGTTAACTCTGTGTTTCAGCCTGTGAAGTACATTTTGAAAACACAAAGGTGCCTATAGAGAATGTAATTGGAGAAGTAGGAGGGGGATTTAAGGTAAGCAGTGAAGAATAACTACTGATGGTTTTTAAAAGCCTGAAGGAGGCGGCTTCTTTTTTTTTTTTTTTCCCCTGTACTGAAGCTTCCTCATTGGTAATATGAACTTTGCCAACTGAAGCATACGAGGGAACAGACTTCTCCATTTACCTTATGTGCTCTGTAGTAATTAGTTTTGCTGGCACAGAGCATGAGTGTGCCGTAATCTCAGATTTCTCTGTATTTCTTCTCAATGCAGTGATAGAGCTGCTTCTGCGAATTGTTTGGCTTTTTGTTGTTTTTCATGATATACTGTTCCCTTCAGAAAAGGGGGGGACTTTTTCAACAGAACTTCTGAATTGGATCGGGGAAATGTCTTCTGCTCTTTTCCACGGCCAGACTGTGAACTAAGTAGAAAGGGAGAGAAAGAATTGAGTGTTCCAGGAGATGGTTCGAGGAAAGTCCAGACCTTATCTAAGGTCCCATGGTTGTCAGGTGGTTTTCCAGGGTTGCATTACTGCACAAGAAGATCATGGGAGGAGTGCACAGCAAGGCTGCCTTTGGCATTGGCTTCTCTGCATTGTATCAGAGAAGCGTGACACCAGAAGAGACAACCCCGGTCACTTTGCGGTTGTAGCCTTTCTCCGAGAGTCTGATCTCTGGTTCTGCAAAACTGTTCTCAGTGGTCCTTCTCGGTGTTTTACTCTCTCTGTAGCAGGCAAGTCCGGACCTAAATGCTAAATGAAATAATTTTCTTTAATGTAGTAAACATATTAAAACAAGATTTTTACCGTTTCTTCTTCAGATAATTAGCACAAATTAACCTGTAGGAACAATGACTTCTTGCTAGATTTTTTTAACAGTCTTTGAAGTGAGTCACTCAGGTTTCTCTTGTTAAGAAACAATAATACTAGATTTCAAATTCTATTTCTGTACCTTATTGATTTATATTTCATTTCTACACCTTTCATTCTTGTTCCCTTTTCTTGTATGTTGCTGAAGGGTATCTGAAGCAGGGAAGCATCCGTCACAGGTCAGCTGCAGGGAAGATTTTTATATTTGACTGTTGTGTAAATACCTTAAACCATATTGTGTTTTTCTTCTTCGTCTGATAAACTTGAGCAGTGCTGTCTGGTTTGAATGTTGTTTGTCTAGCTGCAGATAAATACATTCTTACATACATTTTACCATAATGTAGTTTGAATAGAAGATTACTTCCAGGTCACTGGATCATTAGTCTCTGAAAACTATTTCAAATATGAAATCTAGATGTAGTAGGTCACCTTACAAGCTTAGTTTTGAAGCATTATTGCTGGGATGCTGAATGCTGTGCTGACAAATAGAAGGGCAGGTGCCAGGACAGGACGTGTATTCCAGTGACGAATGAACTGGGAAAGCACTAAGAGGTGAAGCAAGACAGCAGGAACCGTCGTGCCCTAAGGAGAAGTTTTGTGGCAACAGCATTGCCTGAAAACCATTCATCTTCTTTACAGGTTGCCATGAATATCCTAAACAGTGGAAGATTTAGCATGGGCAGTGCATCTGCTGGACTGATTAAAAAGTTGATAGGTGAGTGAATGAAGTGTTCTGGATTGCTGGATGCCATGAAAAAAATGACTTGCCTAAGGTATATAATGCAGTTAATTCAGAATAGTAACACAAGTCTTGATCATAACAACATCACTGTATTGTCAGTCATAACATGCTTTGACTTCTTTAAAATACTTCTATTTGAAATCTTTATTAAGAGCCTGTTTACAGTGTTTTAACACTGAAGGTTTTTTAGTTCATATAGTGGAAAGTTCCTGCCTCTGTTAATTTTTTCTGAGGTAAAATGCTCTTACTAAGAGAAGAGCCTACATACTGTTGGTTTTAGAAGGTATAATCTCCTGTAAACCCTCCCACTTCAATAACTGGCTCAAAGCATATGCATGGTAATAAAATTGGTTTCTACCAATAGTTACCCAAAGTAGTAACAGAAATCCCACTACAGTCGATCAAAGCACACTAAAACGTGCCTTCTCTAAGAGTGCAGGTCCCCACCTCGGATTCTTATTTAAAACCTTTGGCACGCTGTTCCCAGACTTGATCAGCACTCTCATTGTGAGGGTGTTTCTCACAAACAACTGCTTCTGCAGCAGCGAGGGGTTTACTGCAGCTGGGTTGGAGTGTCGGAGTCACTCGGTAGAAACTGTCAGCAGGGATGGTCTGTCACAGTTATACTGCTGCTGGTTTGAGATGGTTTTTTGGGTTTTTCTTTTTTTTTTTAAGAAATGACAGCAGAATATGCTTGCACCAGGAAACAATTCAATAAGAATCTGAGCGACTTTGGATTAATTCAGGTAATAAAACCTAAATCTCTGTGCTTTGCATTGACTAAGTGCAAGGACACAGATTATGTTGGGGTTCTTTTGGCTCTGCTGGTTTAAAGACATCGCTAGAGGTAGTAAATTTGCGTAAACCCAGCGCAGATTTCTGTACACTGATCTTTCACATGTCTAGAATGATAAATGTCATGAATAGAGATACTTAGATTGTTCATGATTGCTTTGCAGTAGTACTTTTTATTCATCGGTTTTTGATAATGTGCGAAACATGAAAACCACAGTTGTGAGTTGTGCGCTTGAGTTTCGGGCTTGACTGGGGGATTTTGCATCTGAATTACTGTAGGATTCCTCGCATTACTCTCTGACAGGACAAGTTTTGTTTTATGGCTGTGAGAGCATATGTAATGGAGAGTATGGCTTACCTCACTGCAGCGATGATGGACAGGCCAGGGTTCCCAGACTGCTCCTTGGAGGCAGCCATGGTTAAGGTAATTAATTTTATTGAAAGACTTGCCTATGGCTTTAAGCTAATCCAGGCTAACACCTCTTCAGTTTTTCAGTCTACGTTCCAGACTGCTGAGAGGCTCAGGTATTGCGTTTAGACATACGATAAAAAAACCTCAGCTAGGTGAAAAAAATGCACGGTTTTTTTCTCTGTATCTGACATACTATTGATTACCTGAGATTTGGGCTTTTGTCACCATACGCAATGAAAACTGCATACAACAGGTTGGGCATATCGCGGTCCTCTTGACCTCTGTTTGCCTGAAGCCTCACATGGTGGCAAGAGTAAAGACACACTCGGTTGTATTCCCAGCTGCAGGCCTGCCCGAGGTGCTTCTGGCCTGGCTTTAACTCGGAATCGGTTGCAAATTGCCTGCTGAGAAGGCGTCGGGCCCTCGCCGCCGGCGCGTCTCTCTGTAAGGTGTCCTGCAGCGGCGGGCGGGCGCTGCCGCCCCCCCAGGAGAGCCCCCAGGACTTCAGCCCCCCGGGATGGTCCCTGCCAGCGTGGCCAGTTCGAAAGGACGGGGGTGGTGGTGAACTGGGCAGGCGGGGCGGGCTCCGCTGCCCTCCCGCCCTGCGTCCTTACAGAGGCGGCGGCTGCGGATTGCAAGGGAGCTGGTTGGGCCTGGCCAAAGTGAGCACCCCGAGCCGTGAGGGTGACTAGCTCAGGCGAAGCTTTTAACAGGACTGCTGTAACAGCAGTCCAAAACATTACAGCAGCGTCAGGTAGGTGTAACAAGGGAGCAACGCTCTCTGTATTTACTGTGTAGCATGGTGATTCACATCCTGTTCAACGGCAGGTGTTCAGTTCTGAAGGTGCCTGGACTTGCGTAAGTGAAGCACTGCAAATTCTTGGAGGCCTTGGCTATATGAAAGATTACCCCTATGAACGCTATCTCAGAGATGCCAGGGTACTTCTGATTTTTGAGGCAAGTATCAATATACTGTTTTTACTGTAAACTGAACTTCACACTCTCACATTCTGTAAACCTGAGCTGAAAGCCAGGTATTCAGCTGAGCAGGCCCTCATTCGTTTAGTTGCAAAGCCTGTAGTAGAATAAGGCTGAAGAACTAATCTTTTCTTTGGAGCTATGGACAGTATTTTTCTCTAAGAAAATAAGGTACAATGGCTTTTATAGGCTAACCACAAAGCGTGAGTTACAGTGGGAACTGGTACTGGCTTTGCCTCTGAAAAGAGCAAACTGGTAGTATATACCCATAGTAGCACAGATACGGTTATATATGTACATATATATATATATGCTGGTAGTGTATATGCAGTTTCTTAAATATTTAGAAACTTTCTGGATATTTTTAACAAAATATACAGCTGTTTTAAGTACACTGTCATGAGAAAAAACAGTCCCAGTTCATGGCTTGGATTTGTTGTTGTTCTGAACTGACTAAAGGATTCTAAATTAGCATAAAAGCCTAAAACTGTTGACAAAAGTAACTCATCAGTTTACGTTCAATAAATAGTTGTAATTGCATGTGCTGACTCGTGATGAAATCAGTACATCTGCCTGAGCAAGAGCCTTATGAGAATGAAGATGGCCATCTTGCTTTGTACCAGGCATATTTTGAAACGTTTTTGCTGCTTTTAATCTCATGTATCTGCAGTAATACAAGTGATAGAATTTGGTAAGAGGTACGGACAAAATTTTAATTTTTAAACAGATTTCTCTCATAGGATTTTATCTCTTTTTTTTTTTTTTTCCACGACTAAGCTGCTCTATTGGTGCCTAGGCTTGCGTAACCTTTCCTCTTGTGTGCTTCTCACAAATGCGGCTGAGGGAACTCACAGAAGATTAATTTAGAAATTTAATTAACTTATTGATGTGCATTTATTTAAAAAAAAAAAAAAAAAGCCGGCTGTGAAATTTATTCTGTTGCCAAGCTGGATTATCAGTGACCATTCATCTGTGCATCTGAGTCAGGCTTCCAGACTTGGTTTTTCTTGATGGGCTGTTTAGAAATTATCATGTACGTCCTGGTGTCAGGACAGCACAGATCTCAACTGCAAATTGATGCAAGCAAGAATTTTCAAACGCGGTTCAGGGCGTAGCAGTCACCTGGCTGCTCTCGCAGATACGCCTGTGTTTATCTCGTGTAAGTAAGAAGAATCATTCCAATATTGATTAAAGAGCAAAACCAGCCAATTCATAAGATCATCCTCCTACACCCTGTGGGGTTTGATGTTTATGAATCTGACAGACATTCGGAACAGTAAAATCAAAACGAGGTGTGAGGAGGGAGCGCTTTCCAGGCTGGCTGAAGCAGAGACGACCTCTCACTTTGCACAGATTATTTCGGTTAAAAAAACCAAAGCACTGCAAACCTGGGACGCCTGTAATTGAGCTCATGTTTCTCCTCGATCCCGACATTTACACAAAGTTACTCTTCCACCAAAACAAGGAGGCTGTGCTTGCCCTGTTGTTTGTCCGGGGCTGTTTACGAGGGGCCTGCCGGCGGACCCGCTCAGTGCAGTTCGGGGCAGCCAAGGACAGACCACTTGCCCAGGACCTGTTTGTCTTGGCCCCTCCAAAACCTCCTGCTTGGTCTCAGGAACAGACGAACGCTTTTCCTTTGAACCACAGCCTCCCCGGCACCTGGCCTGGCACGGGGTCATTACAGTTCTGACACTGATCTGATACTCTGGGTGCTTTTCACCTGTGACCAGCCCTCTTTGTTTTGATCTTTATTCTTCAGCCATCTATATTAAATCAGTCAATCAGCTCATGGATTCCCAGATATTAAATTGTACAGTATCGTCTTAATTTCTTGGCCTACATTTGCTTTCCAAACAGGCATACTGAGCAGCTTTGTGACTATTTAAATGTTCCTTTCCTGGAACAATGCAGAACTTGCTTTTTACTCAATGTGCATTTAGTCTGTTTTCTTTTTCATTGCGATACATGTGTATTTAGTAATGAGAGGCTGAACTTCTTCACAGCTAAATGAAATCGGAAGTTACAATTGAGATAAAGCAAAAGATAGCAAACATTTATGGACGGATGGGTAATCTTTCAACGCTAGAAAAATAGAAAGGGAGGACAGGCAAAACAGACCTGCTTGGGCTTGAACCTGCTTGGAAACCATTCATTAATACTGTGAACTTCATAGTGAAGTAAAGAACCTGTCTTCAAAGTGATGCATATTAAAAAAAAAAAAATTAATTGAGTGTTTAGGCTTTGTTGCTTCTTCCAGTACTCCTGACCCTCTGCAGCCATGTGTCCTCTACCTCCCCAGCTTCTGTTATCACTTGCGGCAAACTCCCCTGGGAGTGAAGGGCCTGGCATGAGTGTGTTCTCCTCACAAGGGGTGATCGTCTTTTGTCTTGCATAGAGCTCTCAAAAGGATTTTAGCTTTTGAGTCCAAACGCAGTTTAGAACATTTCAAGGGAAAGCACAGCACAGGTTACTTAGACATTGAAAGCATTTTTTTAGGAAAAAAAAATGTATACAGAGTATTAGCACAGCATATCTGGATTTTTGAAATACTAACAGCGCTTTGTACGTGGTACTGACTTGGCTTTATATTATGTTTTTTACAGGGAACAAATGAAATTCTGCGAATGTTTATTGCTTTGACGGGTATGCAACATGCAGGCAAAATCTTAACTGACAAAATCAAGTATGTTCTTCCTTATTGCTAATCATTTTTAATAAACTAAACAGGATCTGATAACTGTCCAACTATAGATAAGAGGGGAAACCACAGGAAAAATCCACAGTGTTTTTCAGTGTATTATCTGTCTAAAAGGTAGTTCAATGTTAAAAGGGTCTTTTTTTTCTCGTTTTAATTTAATGTTTTACAGATTGAGGAATCTTGGCCTTATTGTATTTTATCTTATAATTCCAGTTTGTGCAAAATTTTTTCTTACAAGACTGGTACTTAAAGTTTTATAACGTAAGATTTTATAACAAAGTTCTATTGGTCAGACAGCTGTATTGTATATACTGAGAACGTCTCTGGGATTTATTGTGTTTTTGAGAGGAACTGAATAGGAACCCTGCTGTATACTTTTAAGGCTGTAGAATTGTTTTCCAGACTTCACAGTAAAATGGATTAAAAGACTTGATGATTTGCAGACAAAGTGCAGGTGTTTTGGTAAAGCATGTAGAATTTCACCTCGTTATCTGAAACTCCTGAAACTTCCCTTGCGAGCCAGGAAATGGCCTTTAACAGCTCTTGTTTACCCAACATTTTAGAGAAATCAAGAAAGGAAACGTAGGAGTGGCACTGGGGGAGTTTCTAAACAAATTACGGGACACGATGGGCAGAAAAGTGGATTATGGGCTAGTTGGTGATGGTGGAGTGGTGCACCCCAGCCTCCAGGTAAGGGGGGACACGACACGGCGCGCTTTGATCACATCCAGGCACGGTCCTTCGTATTTGATTCCCTTCACAGCTTGTCACAACTTGACACCCTGTTTATGCAAAACAAAAGTGTGTGCTTAGGAGCAGAGTTACAAATTTAAGCAGACAGTTATACCATTTCAGGGGTAAGGACTTAAGTTACAGATTTTATATGGGTATGCACCCAGGTAAAATGAAGTCGGTATTTATACCAAATCCAGGTTTATAGCCATTTTAGTAATTTATATAAATTGAGCCTTCACAGTGTTAAAGTCTTTGTTTGTAATGGTCTGTTGCTGCCCTTCATAATAAGCTCAGTTACAAAACACAGCATTTTTTCCTGTTTAGTAGTAACACAGTTTTAGGTAAGAATTTCTATGAACTGTACATACATAGCAGCTTAATCGCTTAGTCAATAATTTTTACGAGCAAAGATGAACGTTCTGTTAATAGACAAAAGATGAGGTATGCTCTTCCGGTGAGGTTTTGTTAGAAAAACCAACGAGATGATTTTTTCCTGTTCTGTCAGTATACCTGTCCTCCGGGTCAGGTATTTCAGGCACGTACGGAAGAGGATTTGCCAGGCCCTGCTGATACTGTTCCGTGCACAAAAGGAACCGTATCGCTCCGCAGTGCCACCCGCCTTCACGGGCCGACTGCCTGAACCGCAGCCGCTCTGACCTACCTGACACCAGGGACTCAGATTTCCTCTGAGTAGCTTCAAACCCACTTACTGGCCTTCACAGACAGGAATCAGCATCCTGAATTACCTGCATTTGTGAATTAATAAAAGCCAAATATGACACTGGAAATTTTCTTCCTACTTAATGCCAGAACTTGAGACCATCCGTGAATTCACACAGCAGTACCAGATAATCTTGGTTTTGAGGGTTTTCATAAACTGCAGCACTTACAATAAGAATTAGATTTGCTGTGCAGAACTAAACGTTGCATAAGAATTCTTCCAGCTATTATTTGCATAAGCATAAAAAGTATACTGAAAAGTTGCCAAAAGTTTGAAAATTTCAATGTGTATTTTATAGAGAAAGAAAAGTGCCTGCCTGGCTTTCAGCGGCAAACTGGATGAAACAGAAAAGAGAAAAATCTGGTGTTAGTTGGGCTCCAGGATACCAGGGCTGCATTTAAACAGTGATTTTGCCCCTCAGAATAGCAGCAACATTTTATAGTCCCATTCCTCTTAGGCAAATAGGGAAACTTGTTCTCCCTTTTAGCTGGGAAAAGATGTAAAACGGTGAAAGATCATCTGAAAAGGGAATCTGGTCAGTGACTACGGGTTGGTAAGAAACACTGCATTTGGTAGAAGATAGAAGTGCTGGGTTTTTAGAGCGGGAAGGTTCGCTCTTGCGGCGGGGCACACTTCTTGGGGCTTCCAGCATTATTTTCCTCAATAGAATTGCCTGTTGGTTGGCCAACGTGGCGGACATCGTTCCTTCACTCTGATCACTCAGAACGGCTCCCAGAGCTGGCCACGGTGTTCTGCTGCACTTCCCTCCTGCCTGATTGAAAAAGGAAACCTAGTTTGGGGCTGTAGTTAACAATTCTAACTTGTGGCTCGGCTGCTAAACCCGCCAGAAGCCCTGCCTGCCGGCACCCGGCCCTGCGGGCAGAGCAGCTGCTTTCCCCTGCAGCGGCTCGTGGCGCCCACGGCAGGATTTGGTTTGGTGGCCGGGCAGTTTAGCTCAGGGGCCTCTTCTACAGGGGCGAGGCTGTGCTTGGTTTTTTCCTTAGAAGACTACTCAAACTGCTCTGTTTTCTGTTTTATAGGAAAGTGGCAAGAAACTTGAAGAAAACATTTACTATTTTGGAACTACAGTGAAAGGCCTGCTAAGTAGGTTTGGCAAGGTAACGTATTTTTTCTGCTCTCTTCATTGTTGAATAGTTTAACCTCAACCAAACCGGCCTCCCTGGAGTCTAGAGCGGGCTGTGTGCGTGGCAAGAGCCAGCACAACACGTTTCCTTTGAACAGGAAGAAAATACGCTGAAATTCTCTGCTTGGTGTAATGGACAACTTCTGTTTAAACCAAAACCAAACCACAAAACCCCAGCAATCTTGGTGAAGTCGTTGTTTCTTTCTCCCTCTAATCCTGCCCGCCGCAGCGGCTGTTTTCAGTGCTTTGCTGGGAGCAGTCACTGGAACCCATTTCCCGGTCCCCCCACGGGGAGCTGTCCCAGCAGGTTCTGGATTTCTGCTGTCCCTCCATATTGTACCGCACACGAGGCTGGAAGTAGGCCCTGCAGAGCGCTGTCGTTAAAACAGGAGAGGCTGAACTTGGAATAGCCTGGATTTTCAATTTTGTGACAGTTAAGCTGGTGTGTTCTGAGAACGCGCATCAGACTAGCCCTGCCACATTCCGCCTTAGTGTATCTTTTGATATATTTGGTAGTTGAATTCCAGTGATTTTGGCATTTCAAGGCACAGCAATTTTACTGTTGGCTGCAGCCAGCCAGACCGTTAAAACATGGAGCATAATCAATCCAAAACTATCTGACTTAGGGTAGAAATCCTATGTAACAACTTACCCGTCTACGCCGAGTAGGTATGAACTGCAGTACAAAGCGTGGCAGAAATGGTTAAGGTTTTACATTGACAAACTACAAGCTAAGAACCATTTTTACTCTTGTAGACAATAGTGGATGAGCAGTTGGTTCTGAAGAGAGTGGCAGATATAGTCATTAACGTGTATGCAATGACAGCGGCTATTTCCAGAGCCAGCCGCTCCATCAGCATTGGTCTAAGAAACCACGACCACGAGGTGAGTGTATTTTCCTCCCAGCCGTGGCCCTTTAACGGCGCCGCGTAGCTTCGCGCTCCGTGTTCAGTCCCCCTGTGCCTCGCTGGGGGTTCTGCACCCGCCTCCCCGCAGCGCTGCAGCCTGCCTGCCCGAAACCCGCACGGGCAGGGCGCTGCCAGCCACTGCCTGCTCATGCCCCTGGCCCTGCAGGACCGCCGCGCCAAACCTCGTTCCTTACGCCCCCAAAGCGCCCTCCACGTTTGTTAAGAATTGGTGGCTTGTCACAGCAGACCCCCGCGAAGCCGGCGCCGCGCCGGAGTGACTCTCGGCTGCTCGGTGCAGGGGTGCAGTAAGCACAGCGGTTGCCGCTCCGGTGCTCCGAGCCACCTGCTATCCAAGTATTCAGAATACTTTAACATACACATTTATAAATCAATTACAAATTCGCATGTTCTCGTAAACCTGCTGATACCATGCAGTTCTTCCCAAAGTCTTCTAATATAATCATTAATAAATAGTAACATACCCCGACAATATTCTGTCCGTAAATCCACGCACAGCAAAGTGAGAGTTTGCCACAGGGGTGATCGCAGAGTAACAGTTACACTGCAGGAGAAGTGCGTTTGCTACAACGAAGCGTTGGACAAATCCAGACTGATTAACCTTTGTCTTCACTGGCCTTGAGCCTCCACGTTTCGCATGTGGAAGCCCCTTCTGCATTTATCACTAAAAACATCCTCTAGTCAATTTTGAGTCATCCCAAAATCTGACACTCGGCAGCTGTGGGGAAAAAAGAACAATTAAGCCTGCAGAATCCTTCACTGGCTTGCAGGGCTCCGTGATCAGGAGACAAAACTAGACTTTCAGAAGGCTAAACGTGACTGTGCTTTCTTTATGGAATTAATTCACTAATTTTCAACTGAGTTTTGCCGTTTTCTCAGGTGCTTCTTACAAATATCTTCTGCACGGAAGCGTATTTCAAGAATAATTATGCCATGGCTCAATTACAAAAATGTAAGTTCTATAAAAAGAACATAATTTTTATACTCTCGTGGCTTTTTCAGACTCCAGGCAAAAGCAGGTGGTTTTGATGTGACCAAGATGTTCTGCTCTGCCTTTAATTCAGACGAGGAACAGAACTGGTCCCAGCTGAAAATAAAGAGTCTCTTCATGTAATAGATAAAACGAGCTGCAGTAATTCTTTTTTTCCAGCTGTGGGGAGGAATATAAAATCTATCAGTAGCAAATCCTCCTGTAAAGAAAATTCGAGATAACAATTGGGTATTTGACCTATTTGGTTAAGTCCTGACCAGTTTGGCATTTGCTCTGTGAAACACAGTCTGCAATGATCAGTCTTGTTTAGAAGATAACGTTAAATTGTTTCCTGCCGCTGCGGTGTAGGTTCTTGCATTTGTACTCTAAGATCCTTTTTGAAAGACATTGAGAAAAGCTGTTTATGGTACCTTAGTTAACTTCCCTTCTGTTTCTCCACAGATGCAGATGAAAATCTGGATGACCACATTAAAAAAGCTGCAAAGCAGGTCCTGGAGAAGAGAGCGTATATCTGCTCTCATCCCCTGGACAGGACCTTCTGATTACTGCCCTGCAGCAAATAGTGAAGAATGTAAAACGGTGACTAATTTTCTGCAGTTCAAGTATTCGATACGTTAAAAATAACCACTTCCTGACTTCACCAAATGTAATTAGATGTAACTGTGTAAAATAAAACTTCTAAACACAACTTCATACAAAGAGGATAAATAACTTGAGATTTAGATAAAATTTCTTTCTCTTATAGATGTCTGTTGCCCTTGGAGCTAAATAAAGCCAGGTGAGGTCCGGGCGGTGAGATGTGTTTTCCCAGGGAAGGGATGGGGTGTTTTTATAAGTATCTTTAAGCTTAAATCAGCTGCTTGCCTCCTCCTGGAGGAGCCCTGCGAGACTGGCAGAACCGGAACAGTTTCGTTTGGGAGGGACGTCCCGGGGCCACCGTGTCCTGCTGCAGAGAGCAGCGCCAGCGCCCGTCCTCCGTCACCGCCTGTGGCTCCAGGGACGGGGGTTTCGCTGTCTCTCCCAGCTCCCATTTAAATGTTTTGCCTTGTACTCGGTCAGCACTTCTCCACGTTTTGTTCTTGGCCTTGATCTTAAGCCATACAGGGGGCCCTTTGCTTTTTTCTGGTTTTTGAAAACAATAAATGGAGGGGGTTCTTTCAATATAAGCTGTCATCTCTGTTAAAAACGGCTCACGAGATTTTTCATGAGCATTATTTGGACTTGCTGACAATTCACACTCTTCTTTCCCCTAACCCCTAGCTAACCCCCAGACATAATTTAGCTGCCTCTTCACCACCCCTGCAAGGTCCGTTTTAGCCAGCGACGCAGTTCATCAGTGTCCCCATACTTGCCTTTGGGAATTACTCGCTGGCCAGATTTCAGGAGGAAGGCAATTGTTTGGGCTCGCAGGTAACATCTTTGCCAGTTACCTGTTGTTCACTGAGTGCCCTCTGCTCACCGAGTTACCTGTAGCCAGAACAACTTTGGAGGAGGTATTTCCTGTTGTGCGAGGGCGGTGCGGCGGCCTCCCACTCTTGCAGGTGCTTCTCTCTTGTAAACGAATGTTTATAGCAAAGTAACCGGGAATGAAGAAGGACTGGGAGATGAAGCTGTAGCTCTTTGCAAATTCCTAACTGATAGAGTTGCAGTTGTTCAATTAAAGATGTTTACTAGACACCACTGCAAAATAACTGACCGCAACAGCCAATGAGCTCACCACTTTTCTCAGTTACTATGACTGTGTTACTTCATTCTTGTTGCCCAACAACTCTTAGGAGAAGTGTGATTTGAGTAAGGAATTGTGATCATCGGGCTCTGTAGCATTTAAAGATGGGTGTGGGCTCCGGCAAAATTTGGTAACAAACAGCTTAGTAGTTGTGAATGAGCTAACCCAGACCCCTTTTGTGAGCTAACGCCCTGTTCTCTCAGAGATGCAGCTCTGCCTTGCCTTTGGGAGATGACAGAGGCCAGCTAGGAACCCACAGATCTAGTGTTGAAGCCAGTAAAATACCAGGTTCAACACAGGAGGTAATGCATCGTCATTGCCCAAGCTGACACTCCAAAGGCCAAAGTCTGACCTTGGTAAGTGTGATTTAGATCTGGTGTGGGATTCTGCGAGATTACATTTCGGCAAGAGCTGAATAATTAAATGAAACAAAGCAGTATCTTAGAGCATGTGATGGCATGGTGGCAAAATGAAGGCCAGAACTCCTCTCCCACAATAAAGAACAAAATATCAATTAAACCACTTTGCATTGTTGCCTATGTAATTGAGACAGCAAATCTTGCACCAACAGGAAGCTTGTAGTTACTGTCTCGCAGAGTTTAATTTAGTAGGTTCAAATGACATGAAATTTCTTCAAATTTCTGGCATTCTAACTGGAAAGGTAAAAACTGCTCTTCAAGAAAGCAGACTTACACTTCTCAGACTGGAAACGCTGCAGCCTTCGTCCTCCAGTGTCGTGTCTGCCGGCTCTGGAGAGCTCGGCCTGCGAACAGGCGGGTCACACGCAGTCACAGCCAGGCCCGTGGTTACCCCTGGTGAACCTCACTCCTTAATTCTGGAGTTCGGACTTGAAAGGGCCACCTCCCAAAATTGGTTTCTTTGGGATAAACCCTAAGGATTTAATGTCTCAACTGAGTAATTTCTTACCATAATGTCTGTATACTACAACCCTTTGGCACGCACCGTATAAAATGATGCAGGCTCGCTTTTGCTACTCCTAGCAGTTAGGTTGTCGTACTTGAAATCTGCACCTTGGAGGTTTTTTTTCAACCTTCTCATGCTGTCGGTTGTGCCGGGAGCAACGTTCCTGCTCCGCCTCAAGCTGTGCTGGTGATCAGGACCTGGCCCAAAGCTGCTGGTGACACTCCTCCTCCCTCCCAGGAGGGCACCGAACCCCCACGGCGCTCGTCCGACACTGCCAGGGCTGGGACAGGAAAACAGCCCGTGGCCCCGCGCTCTGCCGGCTCGGCTGTAACAGAAGGAGAGGTGAGGAAACGTCTGCCTACACGGGAAGTTCTGGGTGCCTCTGAGCTCCAAGGTGAGTCCATTTTTAAGTGCACAGACTCTCCAAACCATGGACAAGAAAAATGGAAGCTGTTGTACCTCCTGTACAACATTGCATAATATATTACATAAATGAGACCCCGAGCATTTACCTTACAGGCAAACTACAAGGTTGTCACTGTACACAGCTAAAGCATGTGTTGCTCGCACTCATGGTCTTACAAGCCTGTATTCAAGATCACTTTAAAAAAAAAAAAAAAAAATAAAGGCATTATGTGCCAGCTTTGTGCTTCAAAACCTTTAAAGATACAAATTACAAGCTGATTCCTTTCCTTAGTGTGGGAAAAAAAAAAAAAAAAAACCAACAAGAAATAAACCCAAAAGCAAGCAACAACCAAAAATAAAAATATCCCAAACCCCACAACAGCCAGATTAGTCAGTGAAGCTGAAGCTCTAGCTTGGAAGTATCCACAGAGAGGTCACGCAGCCCTTGGGTGGTTTGCTTGCCTAACAAGGGAGTAGAAACATTAGCAGAAATTGTCTTAGTAATCAAATAGCTGCACCAGGCAACGTGACCTGTCACCAGAGAGCCAGGAACCCTGGTCAGGAAGGCAGGGAGGGGAATTATGCTGCTTGTAGGGTGTGGAAGAAAAATCTAGGCTCTAGGCTGCCACAGCAAAGAAGATTTTAAAAAAATCTATCAGGAGGCTGTGGTAGAGACCACAGTAGCATAAGAGTGCCCAGGTAATAGAAGGCAATGGCACTGAACACGCTTGTGGAGCCGAGATACTGTGTTCACCCTTCTGAAAACAGTATCTTACATAAAAATAAGCAGAAAGTAAATGATGTGGTGATGTAAAGGGACTCTGCATGTTTAGCTTTAATATACCCATCGTGTTTAAAAAAGGCACATCATCCAGCAAGGACGTTTTCTTTGTTTTTCTGTCAAGAGGAAAAACAACACACTGGAAAAAGAGGCTAGTTTGGAAATTATTAAAAGCAAGAACTAAAAATACAGCACTTTTGAGGGGAGGTTTATTTTGTTTTGTTGTGTTTTTTTTTTTTTTAAATCTTACTTCCAATGCAGACCCCTGGAAGTTAATGCACGTAACACTTCCTTTGTAAAGGGTTGTCTTTGCAAAAGAGTAGCCAGTTTTGTGAGGCAAAACAGAAATGACTTCCCATGGGCTATAGTTGGAAGGCTTGAAAAATGTGTTGAAGAGACTTGGGGTGACAGAGTCGAGTGTGACCACTGTAATTAGAATGTTATGAAGTGCAAGATGTATGTTACCTCATAAACTAATAAGAGTATTTATATGCAGCCTAACAAAAAGGGCTGTGTACTGGCATTATAGGAACCAGGCAAAGAGCCCAAGATGGACAAGTTTCATAGTTTGAACAGCCAAATCAAAACAAAAGGCCAAGCCCAGAGAGCACAAAGCAACACGCAACTCAAAGCCTGACACTAAACTGAGGCAGGCAGGTGGCTTGCTGCTGAGTGTCTATTCAAGACAAGGACTGGCACTCAGAATATTAAGAAAAAAAAAATAAAAATAAAAAAGAGGGGATGGGTGGCAGTGAGTTGGCCTTGAAGGTTTAACTCCGCTTTTGCTACCAGCGTTCTCACAGGTCCTGTGTTTGTTTTTCTGGAGCATCTGTAGCCAACAGCAAGCTTCGGTGCCTTTGATCAAAATCAGCTTTAAAAGCAGGCCCAGGGTTTGGGTCAGTCACCGCAGTGCAATCGCTGACAAGGATTCAACCAACAAAAGAACAGTTAGGTGCAGACCACCCACACAGCTTTTCATATTAATGAGCACAAATCCTTTAGTCTTGCTAACTGGGGTGTCTGGGGGGGGGATTTTTCTGCAGAAGTGCAACACTCAGGAAGTCTATACAGCACTATGGTAATCGAGAGAACACATGGTGAGACATTTGGCATCTCGGCTATAGAACTGCCCCGACCCCTCCATTTCATTAGGGGACTTTACAATTTCTTTCAGAGCTGCTAAGCCAGCTGGCCAGAAATTGTTCTTCTTTTCTCACCCACTGCACACTGACAGGCAAGTTAGCTGAACAGAAATTCTCCCCCTTCCTCCATTTTCTCTGAGCATCAAAGCAGAGAATTTAAAAAAAAAAAACAAAAAAAAAAAAAACAACAAAAAACACCAACAATTTTGTGGCCAGGCTGATACATTTTTCTAAGAGCTTTGTAAGACTGAGTCAACTGGTGCTAGCAACAACAATTTTAACAAATACTTTTACTTCCAAATGTATTGTGATAAAGTGTGTCACAGGTTATCTGCCTGCCACAAAGTGCAGAGCAGCTGTTGCTGCACAGAGGTAGGTGCCCGGGTCAGTACCTAAAGTTACCCTTTGCCTTTAAAACTGGTCCTGCCTTCCTGAGTGGGAATTTCCGATGTTCATCCTTCAGCAGACCCTGCAGCTTCTGTAGCCGAAACCTGGCGCTTGGCCCACCCGTGGGTAACCCAGCTGCTGTGGAGCAGTGAGCTTTCAGCTTGGCATCATCAAACCTGGTCTGCAGAATCTGAGTAGCATCTTCACAAGGCTGACAACAGACTGTAGAAAACCCAGGCAATACAAACCAGTTAGATAGAAAAGATGAGTTTTGGCTGTTTGGGCTAAAGAAAAGTAGGCTAAAAGCCTCTCTTGCAAAGAACCACCTTTCTCACAAGGATTCTACAAGAAGTGACACAGGTGTTAGAACAATGGCTACTGTCCACAGCGAAGACAATTCACTGTCCTGTAGGCTCCATAAAACACATATGAATGTGGAATTAACCCTGACTGCTTCTGCAAGCATTGCTCTGTAAGAAGCACTTGAGAAGAACTGCACTAAGCAAGCGTTCTGCAAGTTACAGGGTAATGCACAGCAGAAAAGTTGTAACCGATGAAAGATTCTAGCAACCACAATAAATCTATTAATTTCTGCTTGTAAATGTTCCAGGGAATCTCAGTTGGTGCTGGGCAAAAAGACACACATGGCAAACTTTTCAAAATACTATTTCACACTGACCACCTCACCAAGGCACGCTAGAGGCTGCTGTGCCAGCGTGCAGGCCTCACCAGCTCCTCCCTGAAGCAATGATCTGGTATTGCTCCCAGTCTGCGAGGTAGCCTTTTCTCTGACCTTGGCAACTAAAGCTGCTTGTCATCAAGCTAGATAGAGGAAGCTCAGGCAGCCACCAAAGCTAGCTTTACAGAAGAAAAAGCCAAGGCGGCGCTATACCTCCCTGTCGTACTTTACCAGAGACAAAGGAAGTAAGGGTAAGCCGTTGGGTAAATGGAGCGCTGGAATTGGAGTATGGCCAAGGTCTTACACCCAAAGACGCGTCATTCGCTACAGGACAAACAGCTTTGCTGTACGTGGCTCTCCTTGCTAAAACCTCTTTGCGTTCAGTCTCCCTTCCCCAAAGGCAGAACTGAACCAGCTTTGGGATCATATGTCAGAGCTTCGAGTTAACAAAAGCTTCGCGATCAGTTCATTTGAACGGAGCCATTACCAGTCTGTGGGGCTGGTGTCGTGAAGAGCTCAGGTGGTTTCTTGTAAAGATCAAAATCAATGTGCCGTTTGTCCCAGCTCCATCTCTCTCGTGACAGCACTGGCTCCGTGTTAGCATGCAGAACATTCTCCTGCCATTTCTAAATGAAAATTGAATCCCTTTAAGAAGCCAGACCAAAATCACCAGGCAGCAGTCACAAAAAATGTCAGCCAGATTCCTGGGTAGTGATCTAACAGCTACCGTAATAGGAGCTTACCGAAGCCCAGGCTTCACTACGCAAGACTGTTTCTCTGTAAGTAGCCTTTCAAGTTGTTGTGTTTGATACACATGCATAAGAATAAAAATCCATTTCATGAGCAAGCTGCTGATACTCCAGTACTGAGCTGTTACCTAACATGCAGGCACTTAGCGTATACCTGAGAAATACCCGGCAGGGGATGCAACTTCATATTTACATCACATTTCTCTGCAGTGATATAAAGGGTCTGATGCACTTTCCTGTATTTCATACAGAGCTGCTAAACTCACAGGCGAACTTGGAGCATCCCTGTTATCCATGTGACTCTGTGTCAGCATCCTCCTCCACCCAACGAGACAGAGGACAGACCCAGTCCATAACCGAACTAGCTATTTATCTTTTCCCACCAGTAAGAATTGGGCTGGCTGTACAGAATTGTCAGGGCAGTGAGAGCTATATAACATCTCAAGGATAATCTTAAAACATAGTGCTTTTAGAAAGCAGAAGCTGTCCTCGTGCTCTACAAATACAATCATAAGTATTAAACTCTTGGGGCCAGGAGCTCAGGTGACCTGAGGAAGCGGGGGAGGGAACCAGCACAGGCACTGGAATATTCATCATCCCAGCGGCGAAATAGAGTTCAACTTTTTGCAGTCCTCTGACTACCCACTGCTGAAATACCAGTTAGATTTTTTTCAGACAAAACTGTCCTTTCTAAGCTATGAATTAACGCTCACTGTTACTAGCCCTGTAGTTTCACTGTTCTACCTAAAGCTGTGCAGGTAAAGGGCAACTCAGTCAGTGCAGAAGCTGTAGGGAGATATTTTAGGAAACCAGAAGAACTCCAAGGGTTTTTTTGTCTCCCAAGGGATGGTGTTACAGAAGATGGTCAAAATCCACATTTGAGAAGAAAACCAGAATGGTTAAAAAGACAATATATCAAAACCAGACTGCTTCAGAATGGGATCATAACAGCCTTCTGCTTCTGTTCCACCTTTCAGGTAACAGGAGCGGTACGTTCAAAATCAACCTGCGCTCTCCAGTATAACACTGGGCCTGCCCGTGGGCAGAAGGAGCCTCCCCCCTCTCCTCTCTCAGCTCCGTGCCGGGTTACACGGTCAGGGCACGAGCTCAGCCCTGCTCCCCTCTCACCCCACCGGCAGCTGCCAACGGTCCATACAACACTCAGCTGCTAGGCCCACGCCGACAGCGCTGGCCCCCCTTTATCTCCGTTCGGTAACTCCGGTGTCAGTCGGCAGCTGCTGCACCACCTGCTGCCCCTTGTGCAGCTTGGCAGGTTTTGACCCCGTACTGCCCAGGTCCCCCCCCTCTTTCTTTTCTCCTTGGCAAAAGGCACCAGCTATTATATGTACTGCCCGGCCTCTGTTACTCTTGGGCAGTGAATCTTCTCTGCTCCTTCATGAGAAGACACATTCTCCAACAACATGGTTCAGAAAAAAGCACTTTGTTTTCACTAACCATTTCCCATCAGCAATACTCTAATCTTTCTGAGAAACTAGTTCAATTTGTATGGGGGAGGGAGGGGGGGGGGAAGATAAATAAAGCCTGAAAATTAAATGAACATGGACACATTCTTGCAAGATACAATACTGAGCGTCCAAGCATTCAGCTTGTTCCACTCTGTGATGTGACTGTGTTCAATTAATTTGGTAGAACTTACTGATCCTGCACAAAAAAACACCTGTTCTATTCCCTTCATTTCCTCATCTTGCCAATTCTAACGTAAAACTTTTCTTCCTAACAGCAGACCACAAGTGCTTGAGTACACACAATGCTGAGGAGTGTTCAAAACAGGGAATTGGGAAGTAGTCAAGCTGATGATCCAGTAAAATGGCAGAAAACCAGAAACTAAATAGTAAAGAACTGGAGAGGGAGAAAGGACATGAGAGAGGAAGAAACTGATAGAGAACACAGCGGTGAAGGACAAACACCCCATAAAACTGTAACTACAAACCATAAATAAAAGATGGAGGAAAAATAAGTAGTGTGGGAATTTGGAAACATGAAGGAAGGCTACAACTAGATTGGCAACTCATGAAGAACAGCCTGGAACCCATCCATAATGCAATATTACGACTTTTCTGACACTAGATCCCATCTGTAAATGTAAAACAAAGCACACTACAGTCCATTGATACCTACTGATATCCAGTTAATACTGGCAAATGGGGTTTTTTTGTATGTGTTCAGGGTAGTATTTGTGTGTCTAAACAAATTATCACCTGGGTGAGCCAGACGCTGATGCATCCAAATTGCAAATGTTGGTGTCACCCTCAACAGAGCTGCCGAGACTGTACCCTTCGAAAGAGACTTCCATATGTTCAAGCAGTCTGCCTCTTTCAAGTCTACTAAAACGCTTGAGTTAACTTAGGACTGTTTGTTTAAGTTGTCCGTTACCTCACTTAACTCCTCCAGACGTGCCTCATCAGGCATCTGAGGGTGCCGGTTGCTTTCAAGGCTGCTCTTAAATCCAGGAAATACAAATCCATCTGGTGACAGCCACATACTCTTGGATTTTGCAAAGAACTCCTTACAGGCAGCAGCCACATCCACTGGGTCAAATGTGGCTGACAGATGCTCATGACAATAAGTGAATCTGTTCTTTGGGTCCTACAAAAAAAAAAAAAAAATTTTTTTTTTTTTTTTTTCTGTTAATGTGAATTCCCCTTTGCTGGGAAAAGAGCCCATGAGGTACAGAACCAGTATCATTTCTTTCCTTAAGACTGCAAGTGATCATAGATCTAAATTATACAAAAGATGTATCGTAAAATATTAAAAACAAAGTTTTAAAATTTCATTATATTATGATCCACTGCTGTATTTAATGATAAGTGATATAATGGAGTCTCTGTAAAATAATTACAGAAATAAATATATTTCATATTATTTGTGCAAAAAGAGAACTGTAGTTTATACCGTGTTCATGGTACATCATGAACAATTTTCACAGAGCTACAGTAATTTCCACTAGCTGATAGGAAAATAGCATTTATTAGTAAGACCCAAGCCAACTATTCAGACAAAAGCAGATAAATGTGATTCTTCAAATGTGTTCTTAAAAGTGTTCCCCAAATCACTTAATACTGCATACACTGATGCTGCAATCACTGAAACGCTCCCACGTGTAAATCTGTGGGGAACAGAACTGGAAGCGACCACCTAGGTTATCAGAGTCTGCACTCAAAATGACAGCCCGGTCATGGAGATGGGGCAACTTGACTATAACAAATGGCATTAAGAGCAAAATTTTACACAGCAACAAAGAACACCGCTCTGACTGACATCCTTTTGGAGCCAAACTTGCCTTCCTATGAGCTAACATGGGAGTTACTAGTGTAGAACTATTTAATTAATCTCTCATTTTTAAAGCATGACAGAGACCAAGCCAAGATCTTCCAGCCACAGTTTACCTTTGCCATTTCCTGGCGAAGATGTTGCTTTGCAAGTTCTGCAGAATTCAGGCTCTGAGAGCTGTAGTTAAAGACAGATTTGCCATCAGCAGGAGAAATCCTGAAAGTTTCAAACTTTGGCTCTTTCATCTTTCCTTTGAGTTGACACACAGCACCAACGTTAGCCTGAAAACAGAGATTACACATGAATTCTGTTTGAATTGGGAATCCGGAGTGTTACAAAACAATTACAAACAAACAAATGATTCTGTAAACATTACAAAAATCTTTAACAAAACAAAAAACCCTAAAAAAAAATCTACAGGTAGATTTATTATATAACAGCTCTTTGTTAATAAAATACTCCACAAAGAGATTCTATTAAAAAAAAAAAAAAAGCACCATTTCACCCTTGCATATGATATTCTGCAAGACTAATGGCAGTAGACTGAAGGCAAGCACCCAGCAGAGAATGACTTCTACTTACAGATCTAAATAGTTGTTCTAGAGAGCTGATGCTGATGCCTTCAAATGAAATAAGATTATTTCTTTCATTTCTATGATTCCATTAACACCCCAGCAAATATAGTGATGTGGGAAACCCCATTCATTAGAACTCCAAATTTCTCCACTGACACAGTATAATTAAACTCTCATATATATTCACTGACTTAAGATCAGGATTCTACTCTGTTTATAGTAAAATTACAGCTTTGAATTCAGACTCTGCCATAATAGGTAATTACAGCAAGAGAGTAAAATTGCATTTTTTCCCTTTGACATCTGCTTACCTTTTTTTTTTTAATCAAAAAGCCTGAAAGGTTACCTTACCTGCTGTTAAAAAATAATTTCATATTTTCTTTTCTACAGAGGACTTCCCAGTTCCTCTATCACCCGCTTCATTCAAAAGCACATATAAAACAAACACTGGTTAAAACATGTTCACTGGGACTACTGCTAACTTTTTACAAGTAACAAAATAACTTTACACTTTATACAGAATGATGAGGCCCAAGAGCTCTGCTGCTCTCATCCTCCTATGATGTTATAAATGCCAATACCAGGAACAATAACTTAAAATTTCTTCCTTTCTGGTCTAATGTGTTACTCCTTTATCAACAGACTAAGGCTGAAAAAGGAAATACTTCGGCGTTAAATTTCTGTTGGCATCTCCAAGACAGTACCTTTATACAGGAACACAGATTTCCACATATCAGACAAACCCTCTTTGTATTACAACCTACACAGGAAAAAAACATTCAGAACTATTCTTCACAAGCCACAGGATGAGTCCTCAACTAGGCATATACTCAAAATCCAATTCAGACTCCCAGGAAACATGCAGGATACCCCTTCTTTGATGTCTGTATTAACAGGAAAGGGTTTAGTTTCAACATGTTTTCCCTGAGGCAACAGAAGGGGGATGGACACAAGTGAGAAGAGGTTCTAAAATTCTTCACCATTTCCTTAATGCTCAGCTCAGATCTGTCTGCAACTGCTGATTTTATTTAGTTAAGAATAAATGTCATCATGGGTGCACAGCGGCAAGCAGGTCTTTCACACGGCAAGAGAAAGAAGCACAATTTTCGGAGGATCTTAGTTGGCTTGGCCCCCTGCAAGCATCTGGAGCCTGGATGAAAGTCCAAGGCCTTTAAACAATCAGTTTCCTTACCACTTACACAGTCTCCTCTGTTTACCTGTGAGCACTAGAACTGTCTTCTCCTTTGAGAAGCAATTACATTTGCAATTCAAGTTTTGCAAAATAAAATAACGCTGCAGTTTTTTATAATGAATGTGTAATACCTACAAACACCCTACCAAAAGTCTTTAGGTCTAATGAGTCATTGTTTCAGGAGACAAAAGAGGTGCTGATTAAGGATATGAAGTTTTGCAAGGATGAGGCTTGCTTCTCGCATATTGCAAACTACTCACCTTAGTATGGTTTCTCTCAAAAGACATTTTGTCTGCTATTTCTTTCTTCCGCTGCACATGCACTTCCTTATAGTTATCTAATGAAGAACATGCTGCCTGTTTCACTCTGCTAACTTTTCCTGGTACTGTATAATCATCAGAGGAAAATGAGAGGAAAGGAGGGTTCTGAGTGAAGAGATCCTCATCAGCTAAGGGAACTCCATACTCGTGACTCAAGACTGTGATCATTTCTGCTGAGGGCAGCAGATCCCCATGAATTACATCCCTCAGCCTCTTACTGTGACAGAGGGAACTGAGCCTACAAATAGACATCAACATTTTATTAGTTCACAAAAAAACTTCACTGCAATCAAATTATGACAGTTAATAATACTGTGCAAAAAACTATACAACCTTCTTGAAACATCTGTTCATTAAGTAGTTCGGGTCAGTTCATGTATGCTGGCATTTCGCAGCAATAAAGAAGTTTAGCAGTTTAATAAACCTACTGGGAATATCCTAGGAATGCTGCTGGCACTAGATTTAGCTGCAAGTTAATGGTCAGTTGCTGAATTTCTCTAGCCTCTGGCTGGAAAGGCAACAAAGCAAACCCTCTTCATGCACACTGGTTTTGATGAATGGCCCATATAAAATCCATCCTGCCTTACCTCTATTTCATGTCTTGCTCTGATCAACTTTTATTCTATATGCTACTCATGACTATGCTTACCTCACATCTGATTTCTTTCCATTCCCTGAATTGGGTCTGAAGAGTCTAGTCTCAACACAAAAGCAGTTCTAAATATATGTCAGCTATTGAGCACCCGGCACACACTTTGTACACACGCACTTAATTCAATTCTCTGCCTCTCTGGCTCAGGCCATGGCAGAGGCCCTGACATACAGTGATACAGCCAAATGTAGTATTATGATTCCTCGCCAAAAAATGGAAATTTGTTAATTCATTTATCACATAGCTATTCTTTATTTGAGGAGAGTTACTTTACAAAGTACTGTAAAATAATTCAATTGTAAAATTACTGCAACAGCATTATTTTCTTACCATTATTTCTGAACAATACATGCAACTGATAAATAACATTAATTTCAAAGTTGCATCAGCATTAATGACGCAAATTGAGTTTATACTGCTACGTTAAAAATTAAATTGGACATTGTGCATACAGATCACATACATTAGTTTTTCTGCAGTAAAAATTAATTTCCTGGATAATTTTAGCAGAAGGAAATGTATCAAGCAGCAGCAGTTTCTGTTGTGCACGCATTAAACCACTGACTGACTACAGCACACCAAAAACTTAAAAACCCAGGAGTTCTACAAGTTAGAGACTGCTCTTGAACACAGTTCACAGTCTGTTTACTCCGGTGAATAATTTATTTGTATTTCTCTGAATAACTGAACACAGCAGGATGAGGGCATGGCAAAAAGGACTAACACCCAAAGCCTGGCAGACATGAGTCACTCGTCCGTGATGGTGAGTTCCTGAAAAGAGCTGGACATTGTCTCAGCCACTAAAGATGCTTTTACTGAGGTTCTCTCTGATTTTATAGCAATGAGTGCTGTGAAGTATAGTAATCATTCCTGCAGCTTCACTTCTCTCTAGTGGAAAAAATAACCCCCGGCACTTAAAATTATCCCAGTCATCCTGAAACCTCCACTTTCACTGCAGGAACTTGAGCTGCAGCTATCTAGCAAGTTATGCACAGCAGCCAACCTGCTGATTTAATTCTCTTTTTTTTTTTTTTTTTTTCTTTTTAAGACAGGAGATACTACAATAAAATTTCAGTAATACATTAACTACCAAGTCTCTAAAATATGCAATATTATGTTATTTTCTACCTCAAATATTGCCAGCACATAGCTTAAGGAATAAAGGTATTACCAACAGTCACTGAAGAAACAAATAAAAGGAGAAAAGGACTTGCAAAGATATCACAGTGATGGCCACATTGTATGCTTTTCCTTGCCATCGCACAAAATAAACATGAAACCAATTACAGCTATGTGAAGAGGTACCCAAGTTGCATGCAGATCATTAGAATGAATATGCTTCAGAGCTTTAAGAGTAAAGGCCTGGCTCTTCATTAGCTTAGTGAAGTTAAGTTTCATTAGCCATCAGCAAATAAACAGTTCTTGCACCTGAACGGGCCAGCCAACAAAGGGAAACAGGCAGGCACACAAAACCAGCCTGCCCGATCAGATGTGTACTGCATTCAGTTTTCAGCAACTGCTTTGACATATGTGAAATAAAACTTGTAGTAGGTGGGTAATCCATATGTAATACACATTATTCAACACTGAAAAGCAAACATGTGGGAGGGCAAGGGGGAAGGCTGCTACGAGACTGTGTGTATATTATTGCACATTAACAGTAATTTTTTATAAAATCAGATTGATGTCTAGGAGACATTCACTCTTTCTTGTCGCAGGACCAAATGTCCCCTTTCATTTCAAATAAGCTTTGAAGGATTTCAGTTCAGATGTTAGTCTACACAAGCCAGTCTATTTCTAGCAAAAAAGAAAGCAATCACAGTTCATCGCTGCTTTCCAAACCCAAGTTGCTCGCATCAAAGATGGATGGTACCCTTTTCCACCTCTCAATAGACGTGTTTTAATTTACAAATAAATGAACAAAAAAGACATGCATAGAAATTTTTTCATAGTTTAGTAAAATATATAGAGTTGTATGCACATAAGACTTCACCCACTTGCTTTTTCTTTAATCCATCTCACGAGATGTAATGTCAGAGATGTTTTAAGGCCTGCGTGCTGACAAAGTGGCCAACCTGGTAGAGACCCAGCAACAAATCATGAAAAAAAACCCAAACAAAACAAAAAAAAGAAAAAGCCAGGAAGAGGAAACATATTCTCCTAATTCTCACAAAACTTTTCCTTTCTCTAGTTACTGTAGGAAGACAGTTTTAGAATTCTCCACTTAGTTCAAGTGACTTTCTGGGTCTATTAACTCCTACTTGGCCTCCTCCTTTCCTCCATCCTACACCACTTCCATGAGAACAGAGGAGAGAAGTAAATCTTTCCCAGATGATAGTTCTGACACGGGAGTTTTCTCTTTCTTCTGTTTGTATTATTTTCAAATATTTTCTGATATACTATCCTACTGATACACCCCTCTTCTTTACAAATTATAAACTCATGCCCAAACTAAAAGTGGGTTCACCAATCCCAAGTTACCACTACATCAGCAGGTAGAAAACCATGTTCTTCTTTCTCGCCACATCCGATCTAAAATCTGAATTACCCATCAGGCCCACAGACTGCTTTCATCAGGGAAAAGATATCCAGGAGTATTATTTTTTTGTACTTAATATTTACTCTACTTTGCTAACATTTAATTTCTTAATCTCTTGACTATGAATCTGGACAAGCCATACCTGGACAAGGCTTGGAAACACGCCCAAGGAACCACACCTCTGACATAAAGCAGAGATTGTTTTGTTATAGTGCAGAGGGGCTGACAGAGGCGGAAATTATAAAAGATAGCTTCCAGGTCTGTATACAGGCGTTGATGAAAAGACAGTTGTGAGTTATACAGTATTTCCAGTTGTCCATCTTCATGTCTGTAAGTCCTGTAACAAAGTACCCCAGTGACAAGGTTAAAACAATCAGTCTGCATCTTGGGTTTCCTCAGTTCTGCAGGACAATTACTCCCTCTAATGAAATTGGTTTGGTTTTTCCTTTAGATGGAACCTCTTAGGGCCTTCACTTCATATGAACTGTTCTGAAAAAATTATTTTGCACAAAATTACAAAGAAAATATCAAAACCCTCATGACGTAACTGAGTTGCATATGTTTTCTTTTTAAGCCATGTGACAAACATTTGGAAGGAAGCTCACCTCGATTTCATCCGTGTTGTGCCCCTTACCAGCCTTTTTATAGCTACAGAAGCATTATATAAATATTTCTACTAGAAATATCAAAAGTCATACCGCAGCAGTAAAATAAAGCTTCAAGTCAGGTTACAGGTGAGCACTGACAAGAGACAATTTTTCACGCAATAAATAATTTCAGTAACTGCAATGAAGTGACTTGCATCAAGAAAAACCCCAACAAACCACCACAGGAAAGCTTAAACAACATGCTGTAGTGCTGGGAAAAAAAAAAAAAAAAAAATCAATTCTTTTTTAAGCATGAAATTTCAGGGAGACATTAACCTTGAATTTGTCACATTTTCCCCTAAACTCAAAAGAAGAAACAGCTCAAAGCCCAGATCCCTCATAGTGACTATTTTTGTTTTAGATCCCAGTAAGTATTTTTTTTATTATTTAGAATTGGCAGATTATAGTTCTGTTTCCACAAACCAAGTAGCAGCTTAACAAAAAAAAAAAAAGTATGTGTTGCCATCCATCTCATTTTATCTCTACATGGATGATCTGTGATGTAATGTGATGAGAAGATTATACCTCAAGTGAAGCACCTACTGGGACTCATATCCACTACAACCGCACAGGAAGCATCAGCTTTGTATAGAAAGGGATGGGGGATGTATAAATCAAATAAAGCTCTGTATCTAAGGAAATAACTGATGAAAAAACCTCAAAATCTCTTACCTTTCAAAGTGTCTATCCCATAGTCTCTTGATTGCTTTGTCTTTTAATCCCTCCAAGACAAAGAGATGAGTTGCTCCGTCCAGTAAGTGAAAACCAGTAACAACATCCAACTCAGAAACTTTCCTAAGCGTGGTTTTCAGTTTTAATGCAGCAAGAGCCATTCCGACTAAGTGCACAGGATAGCAGTCCAGCTGGAGGGCTTTAGCATTGATTTCTGTAATCTCTTCCACCAAATCATGTAATAAAGATGAATTATTGTAGTCAAAAATGTAGATTATATAACCATATGGGCAATTTGTGACTTGAGCATCAGCAGTTTCTGCATGCATTCCCAATGGCACAGCTATTTCCACTCTTACTTTCAAAAGCGAGTCTGATTCTAGGTAATGTCCCATAGGTAGCAGGGAAGAACTACTCACTGATTTTGTCATCTCCTTTTTTTTATCCTCCTCACTGAAAGCAGCTGTATTTGGAGCTGAGCAGCTATGAATGGGAGCACTGATAGTCAAGTACTTTCTACCCACCAATAAATCAGTTAGACTGACTTTAGCTACCCCATGAGGATGCCACACTTTGTTCCTTGTAGCAGAATTATAGATTGTGGATTTGCAAGCGAGGAAGCTCACCTTACCCACTTTTTCATCTGCTTCATCTTCCCCAAACAAACAGGGCTTTTCTGTGGTGTTTTCCATGTTTCTGTCCCGGTCATGAACCTCAATCTCCAAAGGTGGACCTCTAAGGTAACTCTGTAATTCCCCAGGTTTCATTGTCCCTGTTAGAAGTACATTAACATCCTTAAAGTAGACATGAGTTCCATGGACTTGTCCATGAGTTCGATGAGGTGGAAAGTTATGAAATTTGTATTTGCAGTAGGTGGGAACACACAGTCTCTAAAGAACAAAAAGATGAGGAGAAACAGGTATTTGCATCATTAAGCTTTTCCCTTTTTATTTTTAACCCCACAGAACAATTGGTTTTCCTATTCAAGAAGGTCTGGGGGATGTACTTCACAGCACAAACTATGGTCTTCCAAAAAAACAAAGAAGCCATTCTACATGCCCGGATCCTGGGTTTTGGGAATATACTGTCCCCTTCATCTGCCTATCCTCAACTTTACTGACCTTCCAAAGATGTCAGAAAAACTCTCATTGTTTCTAGATCATTAAAGGAGCATGCTGGGGACTGCAATGGCTCCTAGAGCTTTTTTGATTCTCTGTATGCATTTATCTGTAGCATTTGAGGCCTAAAATAAATGCCTATAGCTAGAAGCTGTGATCTCCATTATTAGCCAACTGTTTACAAATCTGGGGAAGCAAACAGGGAGATTCATTCCACAATATTTGTTGTGGTTTCTCCATGTAAGTGTCCATCATCATTACAGCAGCCCGCATGGAGTGGACACTACCTGTCAAGGACTATCCTGACAATTGCAAATTGGAAACAGTTCATTATTTCATACAGTAGTCCACCTGACAAGGGAAACAAAGTCAAAACTTCTGTGGTGACTCTGCAAATTGCATTAGAAACTACAGAGTGGTTTTGTCTCTGTTATTTATTATGTTGCACAGTTACTGACATTTTTCCCATGTTTCTCTTCAGAAATGCTAATCCAATTCACCTAGTCTGTTATAAGCCCTGCGGTATAAAACTCTACCACAGAACTATATGTGCCATTATTAAATTCCTGGCATAATATGATTGAACTATTTTCACAGAAACAACAACAAGACATCCTACTAATGTTAAGGACCAGGCTGATGAAATTTGAACCAGATCTTTCAAGTTCCCTTATAATTCCACCTCAGACGAGGATCAACAAAGTAAGTAGCTCCTGAAAGCAAAGGTCTTTGTGCTGGGTTTGTGTGAGTGGGGAGGAAGTGGGGAGTGAGCAGCTGTGTGGTGCTCAGATGACCTCTGAGCTCAAGCCACAACAGTCTTTGACCCTAATTTCACTTTCACATCAACAATATATAATATTCACAGAAGACCCTTTTTAAAATATCATTTCTTTAAACCTAAAAATGCAACTATTTGACAAGAGGATATACTTTCTAACTCATCTCACAAAATTTACAAATATAAGACCAAAAACTTTAAACTATATTCTCACCAATATAGAACTTCTTTTGTGCACAGCATTTTTTAAGAGGTGGAAGATTTGCTATTTTTTTAAGTTAGATAATATTTTTAACACAGGAATATAAGTTGTTCTAATAAGTAAGTCAGCATCTACTGACTTGTCAGCAAATTGTTGCAAACAATATAGCGCTGTGACTGAACTAGATCTTCTCTCTTACTCAAGATCCACTGCTCAGAAATCAAAATGGGATGACTATACATAAATTATTGCCCTTGGAAACACAAGGATTGTTGTTTTGCTGCCAGTGCCTGTAATAACACAGGCATGAATTTGGCCACATGGTTTTCAGGAAATATGTTAGCCATATTCTCCAATTTTGCTATAAATAAGGAAAGTTATCTTTAAAACCATGCCCATATTTTAAGCAAAACTACTTGAGGGTAACAAGGAAATTGTTTCAGAAAGAAGTACCAGTATGTGTTACCTGCAGCATTTCTATTGGCACAGGTGTGTTTGGGAGGCAGGTAGCTGAATTAATCTTTATAATCAGTGGATTCAATTCATGTTTTTGTCTTTCAGACAGAAGAGGTGTTTCCACAGTGAAAGTCACATACGCATCTAAAACTTTAGGATTGTTTTCTGCCAGACGACTGATCACTGATTTTTCTCCTTTTGAAACATACAAGATTAAATACTGTTATAGAAGCAAATATACAGTTAGCATAAACACAAAAATAAAAGCAGTTCCAAGACTTTTCTTCAGAATTAAACTCTTCGTTAAAGGTAAACAAGCACCCTTAAACAAACTGGCTTCTCTGCAAGGAGCTTTGCCACATCCATTCACTCAGCAGCTGAGTTCCATGCTGCATGACATATAGCTATTTCTGTCTGCATGCACAGAACAAAGGGGAGATTTAACTCACTACACACCAAAATAGGACAATATATATTGATAAGGAATGTTAAACAAGTTACAGTCAGAAAACCACAGAAATAATCCACTCTACTCTGACCAATATCCCACTTTCAACACATTCCAAATCAAACAGGATACAAGAACTTAGATGCACAATGCGGAATTATTTCTGACATCCTGCCCTTCAGAGCACACAGACCTCTGAACAGGGAAATCCCAAATCTTTCTGAACTAGGCAGCTTTTATCCAGAACATGAAATTCCCTAGGGATCTCATGACAGTTTCCATGAGGCTGACCCACCAGCGCGGGCACTTCAGAGCAGGAGACAGGGAGTCGCTCCCTCCCTAACAGAATAATACCTGAGAGGAGAGGCATGACATCCAGCTGCAGTGAAGCCATGCCATAGCTCTTTGCCACAGCAGCATCACTATTTCTTTTAGGACCAGAACCTCTTCTACCTGTTGATGGAAGGCAGGGTTGGACTGAGTAGGAAGGAGGAAACATTTTGTTGCAATTAATCAAAGAAGTAATTTAAAATTTACTGCTGTAGGTAGCATAATTCAGTATCGTCCTGAGAAAAAGGTATCAATTATACACTTTAACACAAACTTAAGCTAGTATTTCAATATGCTCAAATTTCCATTGCACAGTCCACTATACTGTATGTAGTATCCCTACTTTACAAGAAAGTTAAATTTGCAACAGCAAGTATTAGAATCTCATGGAATTACCAAAATTAAATTTATCTTTGCCGCCTTATTATTCTTCCTTGCATATATGCACTATGACACATTTAAGGTACTCTTTGTGATATGTATTCTATTGTTTCCAGAAACCTGTATTTTATAACTTCACATCTACAAAACAGGAATATTGTCATTCCTTTACCTCACAAGGACACCACGAAGATGATAAACTCATTACTATTTGTCATTTTATTAGAGGCTGAGTAATTATTCACAGAATTCCTTTTGCCCAGATCCAGTCTTTACCCAAACAGTAAAAGCACGGTGAATCCCAGCCTCACGTATTTAAATCCTAGCTCCAGATGCTTTGTCCAACCAGTTTATTAAGCAAACACAAAATTTCAGCACAAGTAGTTTAAGTTTGACAAAAAATATAGCAAGTGAACAAAGCAGCTTAGAAGAAGAATGCAAAAATATTACTGCTGGTGGTCCTGGTTTATTCCTACAATAAAATGAATGGCAGAATGTTTTAAGGACAACCTTTACACTTCAAATGAAAGGAAAGAGAGGCACGCAACGTATTACTGAAGTTTTAGCTTTTAAAAATAGTAATGTGACAAGAAATATTAGCAGTACCAAAATTGCACTGGGGAAAAAGCAGTCCACTCTAAACATAAGCAAAATGATAACCCACATAGAGAACTCTACAAAGTGCATAACTGTTTATTGAAAGCTCGTAAATAAAAGTTCCTACTGCCTTAATTTCAAAAGAAATAGCATGTGGAAGTTTGAGAGATAATTGCGTGGAACTGATGACAATAAGTCACGAGTCTCCAGAGTCATGGGAAAGAAAGTCCTGACCAGCGCCGCAAGGTAACAGAGCAGATGTGGTTCAGGGTTAAGCTCTTCAAACACACCCCTGTGCTGCAACCGGAGCTGCCTACCACCACATAGGGGCACACGGGAGGGCTCCAGAATGCCTGCCTGCTGCTCTGCATGCCCTGTTTTGCATCAGTGTTTTCTTTCCTACTCTTGAAAAGGTCTGTCCATACAAGCAGGAGCACCAAACTCTGCCACAGCGGACAGCAACAGAAAACAGTTGTCAGGTAAAGATTTGGTTGACACTATCAGTGCATTCACTTATTTGGATGGAACGAGACTACAACTAAATGTTACCGTTCATGCCCGGTGCTGCTTATCGATAAGCAAATGTACTTTTTGTAATCTGTACTGGGGGCAATGTCTGCTGCAACCCTGTGATGCTGTGCTGGTTTTTGGCCAGACAAGCATGCTATTTAACATGGATGAGTTAATATATGCTCTAGTGTCCATTGTCACAGTGGTTATCATCTCCTCCCATGTTTTACAGGGCCTTCAGCAATTGTAGGCTACAGATGAGAGAGCAAAATCTCACACAGTAGGGCTTTGGTTGTTCATTTAACATAATGAACTAGCACTGGAAAGAAAAACGGACTGTAAATGACAGAACAAAACCTGGCCTCTAATGGAAAAAGCAATGCAAGTGATATGATACAACAGCTTGATAATTTCGCAACTGGAATAGTTGGTTTAGCTCCAACACTACTCTTTAACTGTTCTACAAATGTCATCATTGCACACCTAAATCCCTTGCAAATATCTATCACTTCATCCCTGGAACACTCCAAGTGGTAGAAAAGGACCATCATCATCCCTGTTTCACACTACTAGCTAAGGAAACTAAAAAATAAAGTTTTATTAGCTGCTGAAGAAACACAGAAAGCTCATGGTGGAGCAGAATAAAGTACAGGTCCCATAACTCTTTTTTTTTGTTGTTTTAACCTTGAGCTATTTTTTTTTTAATAATAATAATATTAAAACAAAACAAAACAAAAAAACAGAATTCCATATCTACCTTTTCAAACCTAGTCCATAGTTTTATTCAGAACTTACCACTTGTGGTGCCTGTTTTGTCTGCTCTGTATGTCAGAATTCTCACATTATTTGCTTTCTCAGTTTCTTTTGAAGTTGAACTAACTGGAGAAACAGCAACTGCTTTCTGCTTCAGATGTTGGGCCTTATCCAGAAAACTGCTTTTTGCAAATTTCACATTTCTGAAAACATGAAAAAGATCTGAAGTTATTTAAGAAATATGAAAAAAAAAAAAATCCCTGTTCAACATTTTATTGATAGTAACATAGACTACAAGAGCTCCATGTCATCAAGTCATCTCTGAGTGCGACTAGTATTACATGCTTGGGACACAAAGTCCAACTCTCCCTGACTCCTGCCCCCATAGCTTCTCACAATGATTGCTTTAATGTTTTCTGGTGCTGAATATTGTCTCCAGATTATCATATTCAATCTACAGTGTTTTCTCTCAGATTTACTAATATGTGCAACATCTTCCCTTTTATCCTTGGCATTAAATCTTTCAAAAATCCTTTCTTCCTCCTCCTCCCAGGAATTTTAATCTCAGAGGTCTAAATTCTTCAGCTGCTTCACAAATATTATTTTAATTCAGGAAGGCATCCATGCAGTGAGCAACAAATCAAGACTGTGGCTGTGGAGCTTGAAGCAATGTATATTTATAGCACTAAAAATAATAATTCATTACCCAGATTAAGCTAAGCATTTCCCAAATAACTGTACCTATCCTCAGAGATGTTTCAAAAAGGATCATAGTAATAGCTGGGAGTGGGTAGAGAGAAGGTTGTTTGTGTGGTTTTACAGCACTAAATGTGATCAACATTGAAAATACAGCTTCCTGACATGTCTGTATTCCTATAAAGACATAGTAAAAATTGTTAATAACTGTAATATTAGCTAAGCAGTGAATGACAGACTGTCAAAATAATTGCTTTGGAAACAACAAATCAAATTTTAGAAGTTTACATGTGGTTTTGTAAGTAAACTGTCATGCTAAAAAAAAAAAATCAGACCTGCTAAAACTAAAAACAATAAAGCTGTTTCATTTGCCTTGATAAAAAATAAATAAATCACTGCAAAGAGTCAGAGACCCTAGAGACCATCACTATATATAGGAACCTCCAGGTGTTGGGAATAAATGAAGGAAACTGTAATGTGGAGTTCATGGAGGTAACATGGATTTGTTGGAAAACTCCCCACTGAAGATTGAAAAACATAGAGGCTATCAGACCATCTGTGGGCATTTACATCAATATTAAGATTTTTTCTGGAACCAATTTAAGAGAAGAAACGCAGCATACAATTATTGTGACTATCATATTTCCTGGCTATAGACTTTTGATACAAAATGAAGGAAGAAAGAAGTTGATTCTTCAGGAGAAAAAAAAAAAGAAATCTTTTCCAGGTATGCAAAGGAACAGCAAGACTTTGCCAATCAAATTGGTAAAACATAACCTCCTGAATCTCAGATCTGCTTTTAGAGTAAACACGTAGGCTGCTTGGCAGGTAACTCACTAGTTCTCTGTAAGGCATGATCATGATGATACTAGTTCTTTGAACATGAAGCTTGAAAGAAACATCACCACAGTCACAATACAGGTGGAATAAGAATGTTCAGGTATATGAAAGAGCAACAGTGATGTATGTAAGGATATAATGTTCATTCCTGTTATCCTGTTCGAGCTTCACTTTGAAGAGGTAAATTTATCCAGAAGAACTAATATCCTCATAAAGATCCTTACATAGCTCTTGTGTCATTAGACTGTAATACCTCTATATTTCCAGTAATTAGAATACTTCTACCTAAAAATTATTTCTATTCCAATTAATCTGTACTGAAAGTTAAGTTTAGATGAAGACTAAATACATACTCTTCATTTTTCAAAATACTGATCTCATTTGTTGATGTTTCAGCAGGATGTTCTTACCAGCATGACAGACAGCATAAATGCATGCAAGGGAACTGTAACAGCATAAGGAACTGCACTTTCAGACTTAAACCGGACAAATATCTTTCAAATATCCTTATACTTCAGCAGTATAGATGCTTACAAAATGCAGAGCAAGTCCAAAGTAAGGTAGTGCCCTGGGGTTCTACATTATATCTTACACAAGGTGGACAACTCATCTTTGAGCAGAAAGGACATGCTCATGGGACACAAAGCAGCAACAATTCACATCCTGAGTTACAGAGCAATATTTCACCAGTGCTATTTTTGGAGTAAAAGCCCTACTTAGTTTCAACAACACCAACTCATATTTACACTGAGTATCTCCTCCCATAAATAAATCCCATTTCAAAGGTTGTTTTTTCATTTCTATTATCACAAACAGCTATGTAAGACATAAACACACTAGCCCAACTGATTCTAGCAGTTACAAAGCTTCAGAGGGCCCCATTTTATTTTATTATGCAATCATATGGTATTTACTTTCCTACTCAAATACACAATGCAGAAAGAAATAGCTCAGTTGGCAAAGGCTATAATATGGTGAACATGAACAGGAAGTGTCCATTTAGTCTACAGACCAGGAATTGAAGACTGTTAAAAACAGAACAGGCAGCAAGCCAATAATTATGCAAGATGATGTAGCAAGACATAGATTAAAAATCAGGATTTTCTCAAATCTTACAATACAGCACCTTTGTTAAAGCAGCATTCAGTCTCTAGCAGCTCAGAAGAATACAGGCTAGGGACTTAAAACAAAGTGTCTAGATTTTCTGCATGTTGGGAGAATGTTTGGGGTTTTTTGAAATACAGTTTTGCACTTAAATGAAAACTATCTGAAATAAAATATTTTGCTTCCATGTGCAATTCAATGTTCTTGCTGATTTTCTTCATCTCTACAACTGCATGTTTTCTTTCTGCAACACAAAACCCTTATGATTTGAACTGCAAGATTCACTTACAGATGCACTCATCAGAAATGGTACTGTTCTCACAATGTACAAAATACTTGGAAATATTCATCCATGAAGCTGAGTTCATAAATTTGTGCTGAAGGTATGAAGAGTCCTTTCATTGACTTCATTATCTTTTGAGCAGAGTAACAATCTGACTAAATCTTGTACAGGAGAAATTCTTAAACTTACAAAATAGCATAAAATTAGAAAGCACGTCACAGAATACAGGAGTCGATTTGTTATCTTGTGTTATCACCAAATCAGTTTTTAGAAACAAAATGGGAACCTTGGAAAGTCATTTAAGAGATTATATTTTTTTAGATGACATTCTGGATGATGTATTTGAGATACACCCTATTCATGATTCATTTCTATTTCTCTTTCAAGTTTTCCATTATGAATAATAATCACGAAAATGTGATTCTTTTAAAATGTTATAGTTTCTCAAGTCCCCAACCCTCTAGCCTTTTTTACAATTTTAAGAGAGTTACATGCTAATTGCTAGAAATTTACCACTGAAAACTATTAAAACAAATGACTTATTAAACCAAAAGAGTGAATAACTGTTCCTAAAAGCAGAACAGAGCAAACAGGGAACTACACTACTACAGCAGTAGAAACTCATGATTATCTCATTTGCTTTAGACAATTACCTCGTGGTAATTTGACCTGATGCAAATTGATGGTTACAGAGTTAATCCTTTGAGCTCACCCAGCACTCAAAGCCTGTTCTGCTGGCAACTGTTACTGTTGACACTACCTTCAACCTTTCCAAAAGAATGAGGTACCCTGGATATAATCACTCCTCACTTGCCACTTCCTAACACTTTCAGTTGAGCAACTAACTAGCAACAGAGTAACTCCTACTTCCTCCTCCATCTAGTCTCACTGACACTATTTTGTCCCACAGATTATCTGAAGTCACAAGGTACAAGTGAAGAAAAAACACGCACCATCAAGTACGCCAAGAAAAGTTTGTTGTTTTATGTAATTATTTCATAAACACCTACTTCACCCCAAATATACTATTAACCAGCTTGATGTATTAAAGGGGATCTTGATGCTTTTGGTCCCTTCCTATAATCAGTAGGCATGGGTGCAAAAAGCAGTAGATAGCCACTTCTGAAACCACGGTATAACTACAAAACATTAAAAAAAAAAACCCAAACATAAATACTGAAAAACAATTACATATATTCAACTACATTTTTAACACATGAACATTTCCCAGTGCAAGAGCAACATTCTTACCTCACTGTACTTAAGTCATCTCTCCTTGATGGATGTGTCAAACCAGAATTAGATGTTGCTAGTTCATTCAGATCGGTCTCTTCTGCTGAATTAAAACAAGTTTTACACTCATCATTAAGTATTCCTATGTTTTGATAATTCAAACAAGACTAACAAAATGCATCTGTAAAGCTCGTGGGAAACTTCATGAGAAGTCTTATGCAAGCTGGATTTGTAACTCAAAACCATGATCCATTTAATTTTTGTCTCCATGTAAAGGATGATTTCAATTAGCTTAATACATATAAAGTAAAATATTTTTGATGGACTTTGAGAGATCATGCAGAGAAACTAAAGTATTATGAAGTCATACTTTATTTCCTAGAAAAATAAGTTCCGTGGTAATTATCATGCTGCAGTTTAAAACAAAACTAGGAATTAAAAAGTAATTAAAATGGGGTGAGAATACCCCAAAAATATTCTGTTAGCTCTGCATGTCCTATCTGTCCTTAAGTAGATACTGATGTCAATAACATTATCTTAATGCATGAAAGACTGCATACATAAGAAATAATACATTACTTTTGCTCATTTATTTTAATAAAGTGTTCTAATTGCTATTGTAGTGAATACAAAAAAAGAGTAATATTACCAGTGTCCAGATCTCTTATACAATATATAGAAATGTCCAGATATTTAGTCAATGTTTTATATATGCCATAAGTATGGTACAGTACCCCTAACTGTATTCAAATATCATTTTATTATGGAAAAACACTCTACAGTCACAGATTTCAGTGCTAATTACTCAACACTTATCCTCACAATGTAGCAGTCTTAACTACAGTGAGATGTAGGTCTTAATTACGGTGAGATTAGAGCAAATCAACATCGTATGAATAGCAAGGAGAATTTGCGCTTGAATAGCTGAATATGTTCCACATAAAAAAGAACAAAATTTGTCATCATCTAGAAGTATTCAAAGGTGGAGCAATGCAAGATTAGGTTTTTACCTGGCTATAATCAGGCTACTGAGAAACTGTAACAATTTACCTGTTTTACAGAGCACAAGTACCGGTACATTCAGTAGTGCATAGAGTTTTTCAAAGTCAATGAAAAGAAACTTAAAGAGATCTTCAGGACGTTCCTTTCTTCCTTAACACAGAATGGGTTAGCAAGTAGGCAAAACACTGGCATTTTTTCATTCATCTGAACCACAAGCCATGTTCCTGTCCTTCATCTCCTTGAATACACTCTCTACCTTTGGAGACTTCACTATTTGGTCTATCAATCCTCTCTGGGCCCATCACTAGATGGCACTACTACCAAAATACAGATGCATTCTGCCAGCCTAATTACCCCAGCAATTAATCTACTCCTACTTTAATGGTGCATGTTACTAATCATTAGAAAACAAAAGAAAACAAAAGAAAAAAAATTAAAATAATCAATAGAAGCTGGTGACAGACTGCTCCCCAACATAATGTAAGCAGCCCTGCATCAGATGCTAATATAGGAGGAAATCACATTATCTGCTGAATACCCAGTATCTTACTGCAGTAACAAAGTTTCCCTTTGGATAATTTTATCTAAATATTTGGCAAGTCTATTTTTGTTTGTAGATCTAACAAAATCACAGACATAACACAGAGGGAGGAACTAGCTGTTAGATCCTTTTTCACCACAAGAACCTAAAATTAAGGGAAAAACAAAGGAAAACAAACAAGCAAACATCTTGTTTGCATTTTCACAATATTATTGAAGTCAAAATATAGAGTTTCATAATAATTGCTTTCCGGTACTTTTTGGACATGTTTTTCTTCATAAAAACCTTCTATGAAAACAACTATTAAATTGCAAGGCCAACTGCCTACAAGTAGAAATTTTCAAAATAAAAAGTCTATGCTGCTTGAATTCAGTCCTTTGGTACATATATGTATCTGAGATCTCAGATGATGATTAAACACATATTTCCTCTGCCCAATAGCACACTATTGTTCATTGTGTTGCTCAGTGAAATAATATTTCAAGTTAGCTTTTTCCTTACTGCACAATGCAGGTCTTGGTGTAACTTCTTACAAAGCATCCAAGGACTAAACCTGCTGTAGCAAAAGTATTACTGGAGTCCTCCTAGAGAGTACTATAACACTCATTGCTAAAGTATCTCTTTGCTTTCTCAACTTTAGCAATTTCTGCATTATCTTCATTGTGGAGACTGAAAATTGAAGTACAAAGAAATAAGGGAAATTCCACTAACCTTGGCAGCCCAACTGGAAAGCCAAAAACCTATTTTTTTCAGAATTCTCAGCATTATGTATTTATTTTAACTTTCTTTAATTAAGTTTTCATTCATTTGCTCTTGACTTCATTTGCTGTTGTGAGCTCTCAACCCCCATGATCTCCAGCCAGGCACTGTAACAAGGTGCCATGTGCTTTCTGAGTACAACGATGCACATAAATCCCAGCTTTGTGGTCAGCAGGCTTGAACTGGGCTCCAGAATGCAGAAGGAAAGCTAGCAGATGGGTTTAAGAAGATGTAGCTACAAACACACTGATGCTAGATGAAGAACTTGACAGAAGGCCAGTTTTTATTGTTATTTGCGGCAGTATTGCAGCAGGTTCTCAGCTGGCACAAGGCAAGGCCAGATTACAAGACTGCATACAATTGGGCTCCCACCACTGTCAGGAATAAACTTTTACATTTCTCCACAAACTAGAAATTCAAAGAAAATGTGACATTCTGCTACTGGACTCCAGATACCTACCAACAGCAGAAAAACAGCAAGAATCTGGGAGCTTATGTTTTAGTCATGGCTCTAGATGTTAATGTAATCGCTTACAACCATGAAGCAGCAGAAAACCCCGATGTTTTTTTTCCTAGCATTCCTCAGAAACTTTCTGTGAGCCAGCTAAATCTCTTTTCTGTCCCAATTCTAGTCCAAAGCTATTAAAAATTTGTTCTAACTATTAATACCTTCCGTTTTCCTGCACCACCTCATTCCCTCAGCAGATTCCTCGGTCCTGTTCCTGCTTGCCCATTAGTCAAGGTACCATTGCACTCCCCCTCCCTTTCCACCCATAAGCCAATTCCAGTTCCCATATTGTTATACCTTCAGCAGGAAGGGCTGAAGACTTCTCCTGTGCCTTGGGCTTCTTCACTGCTTTGATTCTTGTACGGCTGGGTGCTGGCTGACTCTCTTCAAAGAATTTTCTTTGCAATAGTACTGTGTGTTTTACCCCACCTATCAGGAAAATAAAATAAAATAAATTCCCTGGTTTAGACTTCATTACTTAGTCTGGTTGAGCCACTCAAATTTTGAGCAATGATTTTCCCATGGCAGTTCTTCCCCTTTTCCTACTATCTATGAGAAGCCACTCTTAGACTTCAATTCTGTTCATCTGGAGATGGAAGTCACCAGAGTTACTGAGATTTACCTCAAAGTCCACCGAAGAATCTAGCACAAAATGTTCCCCTTGTGTACTTCACAAGAATACATATTCAGAAGAAAGTATTGGGGCAGTTGAGGTCAGTGGGAATTCCCAGAATACTGAGCCTGCAGAGGAGGCAAACAGCCCTGGCAGTGAGCTGAGTGGACTTCGTCATACAGACTCCTCTGAAAGTGTGCAACCGGAGAAGGAAAAGGTTTTAAACTGTGGCTAAAATGTAAGGCTGCACTTAAGAAAATACTGAACTACAAACAAGTCTTCATTCCTCATCAACAGCTACTCAGATGCTCAACCTATCTAAAGAGGAAAACTGAATGCTGTCAGAAATTTCCACCAATTGCAAAGTCTATTTGCTGATAAACCCTACCACATCTGAGCAAACATTTGATTTATTAATATCAGTTCAATCAAAAGAAACCCAACACCCTATCAACTAGCATTTAAAATCTTATAACCTCACCAAATCTCTATCCACTCATACACATGGGAAAGCGAGAAAAATTACAGTATTTTACTAACAAATTATGAATATTTTAACAGTAGTTTCAAGACATCAGAACAAAGGATACCCCATTTCCTATAGGTTTCATCTCATGAATAGTCCTCTGGTATTTATTAAGGACCAATATCTCATTTCATACATGTCTGTAAGACCCCTAAGAAGGTCTCTCTCCTCTAATTAAATAAACGCAATTAGTAAAAATTAATTATAAATTATAAAATAACTGTCTCTGAAACCACTGACCTTGAAGCTAGTGTGACCAAAATTTAGGGATAGATTCAAGTTATGGGGAGAAGATGAAACTGAAAGGTGTACAGCATAAAAATGTGGCTGTACAAGTTTTTGCTTCTTCTCAGGACAACAAAAAGAAAAATCCATCTTTGAAAAATGAATACGTTAATTACTATCATTACTACCTAACAGCCTCAAATAGCTCGCTAGTTTTCAAAAGTTCAGATTATAGGCCTAATTATATTTTCCTCCCATCAAACTTTTCAGAAAATGACTCATGCATCCATTAAAACACAAATGAGTAGGAATTATTTTAGTGGGAATGACATATGAATGTCAAATAATCTCAACGATAACTTATCAATAGGTGCAGTCACAATTTCCAGATATGTTTTACAACGTTTCTGTTTGCCTTAGACTTACCAACATCCTCTGTGTCTCCTTCTAGTGAAGAAGTAGGTTTTGGTTTACCACGCCCCACTTTTGAGGAAACTTTGTCCTTGGTATCCCAGATTTTTAAAATTATTTTATGATCTCTTAGTTTTATTACATATTCATTAGTGACATCGACAACAACACTATGGTTCCATGATATCCACATCTTGTCATTTTCAAACCATGGTGTAATAGCCTATTAAAACAAAAGATGAAAATTTTTACAGGAGCTGAAGAACTTCTATTCACATGCTGACCACTATCACCACGGCTCGCAAATAGTACATTTCTTATTTCTCCAGCTTGTGCTGGGTCTTACATGATACCCCTCTCCCTTCCTGTGTCAGAGCAGCATACTTTGTTGGATTCAAAGTAGCCTTATGAAGTCAAGATCTGATACAAAGATCTGAGATAAGAACAAAGAGTAATTAAGCTGTTGCTCAGCATGAGATCGTGGACTGAAGACTTAATGGAATACTGTAAAAGCAAGTATATACACTTTAAAATGCTGAATTGGTATTTATAAAACTAAAGTACCAGCACTAAACTTCTCACGTATATGATGGTAAACTGTAAGAACAAAGCACTCAGAGTGCCAATATAACACATTTCAATCAGCTACTTCATGAGTGCATTTTGTCTAACAAATACATCAAGCTGATACTCAGAAGAAGTGTAAAGCAATCAAAGAGGGCCATTAGAAAGATTGCCGTGCAAAGACAAAACCTGAGAGTATTTAAAACCACCAGTCTATCTCTCTCTGTCTCTCAAAAAGAAAAGTAATTATTTTAGTATCGACCTTGTAGAAATAGTTTCTTAACAAACCAAGGTGTATTCAAAACAATATATCCAATTTTTACATTCCTGGATTTGAATGTGCAGGATTCAGTTAGACACAAGCCTAAACAAAACAAAATTTGCAAAATTCTTCAAGTACCTTAAAAATCTTTTTCTCTTCAACAAAGATTAGAGGCATAAATTTCATTTTTTTCTTCATTGTTAATAAAATTGATAGTTGCCTTCAAATTATTATTTTGGTACCTGAAAGATAAAAGCTATAATCCCAAGTAAACTGATAATCTAGAGGAAAATAAAAGTAAAATACTCTGAAATCCACCAGCCTTTTACTATAAATGTAAGAAGTTACTGCTGATCTGGACTAGCAGAGTCAAGTTCTTTCCTTGATTTTTGTCCTATATCTGTGTGTGAAGATAAGGCCTAAGCAGCTGTTAAAACAATATGCAGCTAAATCATTCCATATCTGAAAACTTCTCCCACCCTCCATATATGACATTTTGGATTACTTAGTTTTATTGTATCTTTTACCTCAGAACTGGATTCTGTAAATAGTTTTGCAACGACTCCAAACAACACCAAATCCAGTTTTCTAGGTACGAGGTCATCTGGTAGAAGGAAGTACTCAATGTGATAGCAACGTCGCATTCTTGGAATAGATCCCAATTCTTCAACTTGAATTCTCTTTCCTTGCGTACCAGGGGGATTGGATTTCTCCCGATTTTGTCCTAGAGAGAATAAGAGAATCATTTGGAAGCATTGAATGTTATCAAAGTTGATACTTTCAGGGATAATTAATGCTCTCTGCAATGACCAAATTGCAACAGGCAGTGTGACAACAAAAATCTGAACACAGATGACTGGTGAACATGAAACTCTTATCCCAGTGCCTAACCCTGCAGTTCTTACCCAGGTTTAACTACCGTACTGGCCCATAAAGTTCCTGGAACACTCCCCTTCATCCTCACTTCCTGCAGCATGATGGCCAGTGATTGCCATTCCCAAGGCATGCATGTCCTGTTACCCAGAGAACTTCATGAGCAGAGTTCCACACTGCTCGTGGGAAGGCTGAATGTACCTGTTTGTGCTATACCCATACGCCACAGGAGAATCATACCTCATCTGTTGAACAGCTGCCACCTTCTCCTAAAATGACAATACCACCTTTAAACTACCCAAAATCACAATTAGTCAAGTTGTGAACATATGCCAGAAAACACCTTTGAGTAACTGTGACTCCTGAAAAGTCAGCAGTCAGGAAAGGTTTCAGTCACGAGTGACGATCACCCAGCGATAAAAGGCTCCCATGTCCCACTGCCAGTTTTTTGAGCAATCTACCCAGGAAAACTCAAATCAACCAACATCTTTTCTAACATTATTTCCTTAAGCCATTAAGGACTCTGCCACACAAATTTATGAAGTAATAAAGGAAGAGTTCTTAGGTAAACCTGTGTCAAATACTTACCTGTAGGCAGGGCAGGGACAGCTAGTGAGACTGTGAGTGTGCAGGTCACAGTATGGGAGCCATCCGGTTCCACTGAACTTTCTTCAGACGGGAGGAGCCTGCTGCTTTCACCCTCTGGGGTCAGACATCCACCACTCCCAAGCACCTCTAGGTTTTCAGTCTCAAAACTGCTTTCAGAGCAGATTGTGTTCAAGTCTGTCATCTCTTTATCATGTTCCTCCACCTCCTCCTCTTCCACTGCCTTTGAATTCTGCTTGTGCTCTGCCATCTTGACGTACAGTCAGACAAAGGACTCAAAGGCTACAGAACAAGACAGACAATTTTATTTTAGTGCTGAAATAAAAATCTCTACTAGAACCAAAGCAGGAGCAAGGAAGGATATCATGAAGGGGTCCAAAAACTTCCATTTCAAAAATTCTTTCACAGTACGTAATACACATACTCAACGCGTTCATTTTTGGGTCCAAGGATGATCCACACAAAAGTCTCCAAGCAACTAAGCCAGGGTAACAGTGTGTTAGGCAAACAACAACACAACGCTGAAAAAAGCAAAGAAGGGGGATGTCAGCTGAGGCTCTCCACTATCAGTTTCTTGCCTAACTGCAGGGGAGAGTTGAGGTTTGAAAGTTTGTTTTTAGGAAGCAGGGGGAGCCCCTGCAGCTAAGTGTGGACAGAGCGGGCCAGCCCAGCGACAGGCCGACAGAGGCTGCCCGGGGCACCACCGAGGGTCCCGGATTGCGGGTGGCTGCCAGCCCCGCGGAGGGGCCAGGGCTCGGCTCCCGACCTTTGCTGCCAGGGACCAGCCGCTCCCTGAGCCGCCAAAGCAGCGGCCGCCCGGAGATGCGCTGCGGGCGCACGCCAGGCCAGGCCAGCGCAGGCCTCACCGCGGCCTCGGCCTCGCCTCCTCCTCGCCTCCACCCCAGCTCGCCCCGCAGCCCGGCAGTCCCCTCCGGGACAGCTCGCCCGTGCAGCCCGGCCCTCCGAGTGAGCACTGAGCCGGCCACCGAGCCGCTGCCGCCCAGAGCTCCTTCCATCAGGCTTCTCACACAGGGGAGCGGCTTTTTTATCAAGTTGCGCTAAGGCGGAATAAGCCACAGCGCACATGGACGTTCCAGAAGCTGGCGTGTGGCTGGTAGCTCCAGTAGCCTCACGCTTCAGTAGTTTGCCCTAGAAACTGAAGTGAAAACACCACTCAGTGCTGACGCTTCACATGCTTCAAACGCTATGGGCTTTCCCTGCCAACAAGCTTACACCTTACTTTCACTTTAAAATGTTATTCTCCACTTCTGTCATTCCTGAATAGCCTGTATATCATAACGAATAGGAGCAGCCACCCACTTGAACTAAACTTATGGAGAAGTAATTTCCTCCACATCTTGCCACCCATGCCTGGCGCGGCCAGGAGCAGGGCAGCTTCAGCACCAAGCAGCGGATTTTAAAATATTTTTCTCCATTCCTGTCATTTCTGAATAGCCTGTGTGTCACAATAAATAGGGGGAGCTACCCACTTGAACTAAACCTATGGAGAAGTCATTTCCTCCACGTCTTGCCACCCATGCCTGGCACGGCCAGGAGCAGGGCAGCTTCACTGCCAAGCAGCGGGGATGAGCAGCTCTGCACCAGCCCAGAGAGTTGCAGGACAGTCTGCTGGCAGCCTGAGCAACACCTGCCCTACTCACATCTGTACTTTTATGAAGCATTATGAACACTGAATATTTAGCAAGTGTTGACACATAAACCTAGAATTAAAACAAAAAACCCTGCAATTGCGTTCCCTCTCACACATTTTCAAATTATTTTTTCACTGGATAAATTTGTCTTTGTTGCCTTGAACACAGATGATGTTTATGACAGAGTGGGCAAAGGAATGAGACAAGGATTGTCTACAATCGGTACTATGTAATTAATTACTCATGCAGCTAACAAATCAAGAATATGTCTGAGCATGTTCTCTTTTCAGTAATTTGAAAAGCATGACCATCCAAATGACTCAGCAGAAGTAAGAATAAATCAGTTGGAAACAAGTAGAAATATGTTTTTCGGAGACAGTAACATGGGGCTATCTACACACTGAATCACTGAGCAGTAAACTAGCATGAATTCAGGCACATTAGTTATTCACTAACTCCCTTTTCAGAGACTCAGATTGCCTAAACTGTAACTAACATTCCATATACACACAACTTACATATCAACTTCCTCTTCCTTAGACAGCAGCAAAACGATTACAGGGTTAGTTAAACAATTATACACCAAATAATAATTAAATATTTTGTCTCCTTGCACAAACCACACATCCTACTTTTTATATGAACAGCTCGATATTTAAGCCCACTTTAGTCCATTTAGCTTGACAATATTTCACACAAGAGGGGTGCAAAAGGGTGGGGCGATTCATTGCACAGATTTCAGTTCTCTGTTTTCCCACATGATTATGTCTCAGAACCCATCATTAGGAACTCAGGCTGACATCTCAGTTGTCTGCGAAAAAGCAGCTGGATGGAATTTAAAATGCCAGTGGAATAAAACATGATTATCATGAAACACTTTCCTGATGAATAAAAGCTTCAACATTTCAGGGTGTACTCTAAGAATGAAAGAATACAGATTCCTGTGTGCCATTCCGGTACCCTGCTGCTGCCCTCACTCATGGGTTTTGGTAAATCTCTTTCAAACATAATGACAGCACCTGAATTTTTCATACAAAACTGAAAAGCACATAAAAGCCCAAATCCTAAAACGATTGAACAGGTTGGCGCTCCTTTCACACCTATGCTAGATAAAGACCCAAATCCTAGATGCCAATCTTCCACCTCAGCCCTCAGATCAAAAGTGCTGTAGACACGTCTGCTGGGTACCTACTAGACTGGACTGCAGCCAGACTGCAGCCAGACTTCCATTTTCAACACAGCTGTGAGGAAATAAAAGGCTGTGGACACTGTCCATACCTTCCTCAGGACAAGCAGTTCCACAGCCCGCACATTTACCCAGCAGGCAGGAGACCCATGTCTGCTTCTTCCCTTCCCTGAAGCCTTGCTGCACCTGCACCTTCTGACCCCCAGGAGTGAGACCTAGCTAACCACCAGTGCTGTATGCCACACAGAGCACAGGGACATTTTCTGCTCCTTCTGCTGAAGCTGTACCACTGTGAAAGGAGTTCAAGATTTGCTGGGCTCAATAGGAAAAGAGAGCCTTAAGATTCTTGGTGGTTTATTGAAAGTGCATAAAGAGTCTCAGCAAGCAGCAAACAGGACACACGCTCCCTGCTTGCTGGCAGAGCCAAATCAAGACAGAAACTTATACTCACGACTCCTCTCAGGCAAAGGCTTGGAGGTGTGACACCTCAGCAAACTGCGTAAAACCTCAGAATAACAAGCAGTAGGGGACACCCATGTTCTCTGTGTCATCTAACTGTATGCAGCGCTCTCTCCAGCATGCCATTTTGGGGCACTGGACACTAAGATGCCCAACTTACCCATGAGGAAACTGCTTCTGATTTTCCAGGTATTTCAGGTTCTAGATGTCATTGGAATGGCCAGACAGACACAAAATGGGTCTCAACACCAAGGCTAAAATTTCCATCATCCTCCTTGCACCTGCTCCTTACAGTCACTGTACCTCCATTCCCCCACTCGTACACACAGATTTAGTAATCTCTGGTATTCAGAAATATCCAGGATAAAAAGTGCTCTAAGGCAGCAAAATCTAAATAATACACGTTTATCCTGAGAATCTACAGTTTAATTTACAGCAGAAATTAAGATGGCATCAATGTTTTAGAAAGAAAATACTTCTCTGAAGTAATTTAGATACACACTAAATTACTTAACAGGAGTTAAAACCTTGTAGCAGAGGCTTGGATCACGCCTGCTCCCTACAGCCTGCACAGGAACTGCTAGCAAACTTATCAGCTAGAGAAACAGAAAGCCAGGGGTAATATTGACTGAAGCACTATGAGCCAAATTCTGGTCTCACCCTATTGTGAATTTCCAATTTTCCCCCTCCATTTACTACAAAATTTGTTCATAAAAAAGAAACATTTACCCCATCAGCAGCACTAAATAAAAGTTGAAAGTAATAGATTTCTCTTTTCGAATTACTGTAGAAGAGCCTTGAAACTGTTCCAGATGCTGAATAGCTAAGAAATGTCAAATACAACACCTGGTTATTCAGAGAGCTGCAGCTGTTTCCTCTGCAGACTACATAACATGTTGTTTCTTCCCTTTAAATCGTTTATACAAAGAGAATGACCACAATCTAATTAGTAATATCAGTCAGGATAAAAACCAAGTTGCAGTTAGGTAAGGTCTTTTGTTAACTCCAGTGGTTTTCCATCAGCTCGACAGCAAGAGAGGCTCCAGACACTGGTTCTTGTCTATTTTTAACATAGACATTTTCCTTATGACCAGGAGCTTACTAAGGTTCCCTGTATTAGTTACTGAAACTCTTTCCTGTATCCACCCAATACGCTCTTCATGTTGCTAAACATACAGAACATCTTTACAGGCTTTTTCACAGTTTATCCGAATTACCTATACACTCAGTGCGTGCATATATCTAAAATTTTGTCTCTGTAGGTATTAAATGAAAACATGTTGCAGGCAGGAACAGAACTATGTGACAGGTAGGGACATTCAACTACATTCTTCCTTCTTTGTCTTACTGTATACACAGAGCTGACCCAATCCGCTGGACCTAACAAACAAAGACAACGCCCAAAATTTTGGGAGTTGCAAGTAACTTCAAGAACATACCAAGAACAACGCTGCACCACTAACATTATTTTAACTCATCTCTGAAGTTCTTTGTGAAAGCAACTCTTTTGGAAACAAGAATTTTAAAAGGATCAATAACATCACAGTATGACTTTGTTGGAATGGGTTGGAAAACAAATTTTAGGTACTTAGCACTACATTTTCACTTTTCTCCTTGACAGTAGAAAGTCTGGAAAGAATAAAATCTTCTTTTTTTACTGTAATGAGGTGATCTTTCTGGCAAGATGAGCAGCTTCCACACTCCTGCAGTTCTGGCTGGCTCTGTGTACTGAACGACAACCCACCACACAAATGAGACCAGATTACCAATATCCTGAAATGTCAGACATAAACTCAAACTGTACTGATCCTCAGTTCTGCAACACATATGAACCATGAAAGAAAATATAAGTATAGTTAACTTAAGCATCAGCTATTTTTTTCTATAAGCATAGTTTAATTCCATTGCTACCTAATACAATTTAAAACATCATTACATCAATGACGTTGGCAAACAAGCTTAAGTCTGATCATGGCACCTTTTAACCTCTTAAAATAAAAATATCCAGTGAACTAATTTCAAAATCAGTATTTTACTATATTTCTAATTTCCAGCTATTACCACACCACTGTAGAAAGAGCCATTCCATTCAGATCCTGCTTTCCCATCAGCTCTTTCCACAGTTGGAACTCCTTCAAGATACTTTCACACTGGAGTGCACTACCAAAACTGGGAACAACTTAGTAAAGAAAAAGTCCTTGATTACTTAATAAAACTCTGCCATCTCCCTGAGCAGGCTTAGAGAATAAGCCAAGGAACAGGCAAACCTTGTCTGGGTCAGGAGTAAAAATCTTAGTCTTGCCCCAGTTGGAAGCAAACACAAGAGTCGTTGTAATCACACTGTGCTTTTCTGTACCTCTGATATCAGAAGCAGTGCACTGGAAAAAAGGTTAAGTGTGGAGCAATTCATGGGTTAGTGTTCAAGAAAAGCAGGCTGCAAAAGGAAAGTTTCCTTCTACTGAACACAACCCCCTTGTCACAGAGAGGCTGAAGTGACATTTTTCTCCAGTCCAACTGTTTTTGCAGTTGTCTAGTGTTTAAAAGTTTTGGGTCAGGTGGTTATTTTCTAAGAAAACATAATGCAAAACTGTCATGCCCAGCAGTCAGAGTTTTTCCTGAAAAATCAAACAAAATTCAATGGCACAAAGGTTTGGGGTGTTTTGCTGGTATCAAGTATCCGCTTTCTTTCAGAGATGAAACTTTGGTGAACATGAATTGACATCATTCTGACATTCTTAATTCCCTGTTGCAGTGGTAACACAGAAAGCCAAAGATTTGTCATGCCATTTATGTCTTTCACTCTTTCAACCTAGAAGCCCAGCAAATGAGCAACGAGGAATTCGACAGAGGCCCAGATGCTCCCCAGAGCTGTTGGGGATACCTCTCTTCTAGCCAGACACACCACCAAGAAACCCAACTGGAAACCACAGGTGCTAAAGCACAATTTACGCTGACAGGTTTATAGCCTGGCAAAGATTCTGGCAGCCTTTAAATCAATTATTTCCACTTGGTAAATATTTTTACAATTGAAACTGGCTAGATCAAAACAAGTTTAGATTGTAGCGTTGTCTCACTCCAGGGCCTTGATGCTTTAGCTGATGTTTGGGGTCAGTCAGTTTGATGTGTGTGGATAAGAAATGTGGATTTACATAGTATCTGCTAAAAACATTCCAGGTTTATGTTTTTGTCTTTCCTGTCTCTCTCTGGTGCTGCATTACAGGGATATTTTGACCCTAATTCAATTTCTTGTATTAATAACATTACCAGACTAAGAGAAGCAAAGGTTTTAGAGGTATACATGGCTATGAGAGTCAATAAGGAATATATACGGACCCAGTTTCTCAAGTCACTCCTGAAGTCAATCAAAATTATAAGTTACAAGTTATGTATTACTTCAAATAAGAGGAAAAAGTGAGAAATGCTCATTTAAAGGTTCAAGAATACATAAAAAAAATCCCACCCAAGAAACCCTGAAGTAAATCCATGAGCTGGACAGGAGAGTCCTAATGACTGCACAACGACAAAACATATTACCATTTTTGCATAAGAAATACAGAGAAGATCGCTGGGGGATAAAACTCAGCCCTTGAGAATGGGAAGGCTGACCGCATACAGCATCGAGTACCCTGGGGGAACCCATGCCTTGTAACAAAAAAAAAGGAGATTTTCAGTCAGACAGCCTTGTATGTTGCTAGCCTACCACAGAAACAATCAGAAATCTGTTTTTTAGTAAAAAAGGAAGGTCAACAGACTTCCAAAGGATGTTTTTTCTTGATGATGCCCAGTACACAGAACGCAAACAACATTCCCATGCAACTGCGGGAAGTAAAAGCAGCATCGGGGCCCTGAGGGCACCAGCAGACTTGCGCTGCCCTGAACAACCTCAGGTGGGTCCCCTGCCCACAGCCCCTGGCCAAAAGCACCCAGCGCTGAGCCCCCTGTCCTTCCCTGGGGGATGCTGAAGGTGTATCTATCTCTGGTCCTTGCCCAGTCTTCTGGATGGACCTTGGACCTGCACTGTAGTCTTTCGAGCAGCCCTGTCTCTGGCACTATCTGCTGCTGCTCTTGGTGAGGCTTCTTGGATGGACCCCAGACCTGGTTCACCACCTCGCCTTGTCTGGGGATTGTTAATGGAGCCTGATATCACCACCCCAACTCTGCTACCCTGTTCAGACCTCGGGCACAGCTGGTGCCACGGTCCCCTCTGGCTCGTGGCATGTCCCTGCTGGTGGAGCAGCCCTGCTCGAGCTGCTCCCTGCCCACAGCTGCATTCAACAATGCGGGTGCTACTCCATCGCCAAAAAGTGACAAAAATCACTGCTTTGGAAAGCTCAGTCATTTGAACCAGTTAAACATTAATTCAGCTCTATCACAGACAACAGCTTAAAAAGTACATAGCCATACCATAAAAAAGACACCACATCTAGAGGTGGAAAAGCTGGAGCAAACAGAAGACCAACTTTTAAGCACATTAGTTTCATGAATTTAGGGGGACCACTCACTCGTCCACAAGTGTTACTTGTCAAGCTGAATTCCCCAAAGCTGTCGCTTTGCTCCTGTTAAAAAGGAACCCGAAAGACATTGGTGAAGAAGTCAGAAGCAAACTTCGAGCTCAGGCCTGGCTGAAGCCCCTTTCCTGACAGAGGGAGCGGCGGCACTCGTCGGCTTTGCCCGCCGGCCCCCTCGTAGACGACGGTCCCCGATCCGGCGGGAGCCTAAAGCCCCGTGAGGGCAGCGGCCGGGCGAAGGGAGCTCCGCCAGCGGGGGCAGCCCCCGGCTCCCCTCAGCCCCCGACTCCCCTCAGCCCCCGGCCCCCCTCTGGCCCCGGCCCCCCTCAGCCCCCGACTCCCCTCAGCCCCCGGCCCCCCTCAGCCCCCGGCTCCCCTCAGCCCCCGGCCCCCCTCAGCCCCCCTCAGCCGCCGTCCCGTCCCGCCCCGCCCGCGGGCGCAGGCGCCAAGCGGGGCGGGCAGAGGGGCGAGGCGGGGCGGGGCGGGGGCGCAGCCGCCGCCGGGGCGGGATGGCCGGGGAGCGCGGCCGGGCCGGCGGGCGCGATGGAGCCGCCTGAGGGCTGGGACCCGTACGGGCGGCCGGCCCGGCGCACGCAGTGGTTGGTGAGCGCCCTGGCCTACCACTACGGGCTGGACCGCGGCGTGGAGAACGAGATCGTGGTGCTGGCCACCGGCTTGGACCAGTACCTGCAGGAGATCTTCCACCACCTGGACTGCGCCGGGGCGGGCAGGATCCCCGGCGAGGACTTCCGGACGCTGTGCCAGGTGCTGGGGCTGGAGGAGGCGGCGGAGGCGGCGGCCGACCCCGAGGAGTGCGCGGGGCTGTGGGAGGGCCTGGCCGCCGAGCTCACCTTCCGCCAGTTCCACGCCCGCCTCTGCGGCTACTTCAGCACCAAGGCGGGCAGCGCGCCGCGCCGCGCCGTGCCGCGCCTGCCGCTGGGCCGGGAGAGCGAGCACATCGAGACCCAGATCCGGCTGCGCAGCCCCCGCCGCCGCCGCCGCCGGGACCCGGCCGGAGCCAGAGCCGGAGCCGGGGCCGGAGCCGGAGGCGGCGCGGCGGGGCGGCCCGGCGGCGGGGAGGCGGCGGCGGCGCGGCGGCCGGCCGGGCCCTGCTCGCCGGAGTGCTACGAGGAGATCGTGGCGCTGGAGCAGGCCGAGGACCGCATCGCCAAGCTGGAGGAGGAGAACGGCAGCCTGCGGGAGCTGGTGGAGGACATGCGGGCCGCCCTGCAGAGCAGCGACGCCCGGTGCCTGGCCCTGCAGGTGAGCGCTGCCCGCCCGGCGGCGGGGCCGCCATCGCCCCCCGCTCCTGCGCCGGCCCCGCGGCCTCCCCGCAGCCCGGCCCGCCCGAGGAGCAAGCCCCGGTTCAGGTTTGGGTGGGGAAGGATGCCGCCCTCGGACCGGCCCGTGTTAATAACCTCGCCGCCCCCGGGCTGACGCGTGACAGGAGTACGGCACAGACCGAGCTCCCTCCTTCATCTTCGGCATTACCTGTGTAGCACGGCTCGGTTACGTAGAGCCTTTAAGGCGAAACGCTGTGTTTTCAGCGGTGTGAGTGTGACTTGAGGCGTGTTTAAGGGATGCCCAGCTAAACTTGTAGAAGAGTTTAACAAACCTGAGTGTACAGTGCTGCTTTTTTTGCTGCACATGCAGTTGGTCAGTTATATATCAGTTGTGCATGGAAGAGTTTTTTCCAAAGTCATAAGAACTTCTGGATTCTTACCTGCACAAGCACATACAGTGACTCAGTCATAAGTGCCTGAGAGCTTTGCCTCAGAAACATTAGAAGTGTATTTTCTTCAGAGTGTGGTCAGGAGACTTCAGGGTTGGAGCCAGTTTTGCAGACGGGCTGATGGATAGCCTCTGGCTCCTCTGCAGAGCCCCATTAATTCCAGAGGTGGTTTCTGTTTCTGCTGTATTGGCTCAATTGAAACAGATATATACTTAACAGCAGTTAAATTACTCTGGCATGAAAGAGCACAGAACAGGCAAAGGACTGAAGGGCTGAGTTCACCCCTTGTTCTGGCAGGTCTGATCAGGTTGGTTTTAATACCAACGTCCAGCATGGCAGGTGAAAGCCACTTTTACCATTTTCCTTTGAAAAGTGAGAGGAAGTCAGAAGTGAATATGAAGTCACCAGTCAGAGGCCCCCAAAAGAATCAGAAGGACAAAGATGAGCGCTCCAGAACACCACCAGCTGCTCTCGGGTCACTTCTACTGAACACGACTTCAAAAACATACCTGGAAATATTTTTTTTTAGAATACTTCTGGCCTTTTGAGGACAGATTATAGTAATGACACTAAATCTATACAGAAACTTGTGCAATAACCTAATTTCCCACTTTAATTAGTAGTCTTAAATTTATAGGTATGTATTTAAAAACTGCTTTCTAGAGATTGTTTCTTTGTATTTCACAAAGGTAAGTAGCTTATTAGTTGCTGATCAACTATATGTGATTTAAAAAGTTAAAAAAAAAACCAAAACAAAACAACAAAACAAAATCCAGCCATTTTCAGTCTTGATTAAAATGTCAGCTGCTTTAAAACACATTAATTTCTCCCTGCTTTCTGCTCCTGTTCGTTATAGGTGGGACTGCGGAAAAGCCACGCTAACCATAAGGAAGAGGGAACCTGTTTTATTGGGAGTAAGAGACCATTAACGCAGAACCACTCCCAGACCAAGTGCCTTCAGAGTGTCCTGAAAGAAGTGGAACTCATCCGAAGCTCCAGGGATGGGCAAATTGAAGAAGCAATTAGGTTCAATCAAGAGTTGGAAAGAGAGCTGAAGAGCTCTCAGGAAGCTCTAGTCAGTCTGGAAGACTGCAACCGTAACCTGAAGAGGGAACAAGCAGAAATGAGGAAGAAGGTTGAAGAGGCGAGACACGCTGTCCTTAACAGTCTTGGCAAAGTGAAGGAGCTAGAAGTGAAAGCTAACGAAGTGCCACATCTGCAAATATACATTCAGCAGCTAGAATTGGAACTGCAGCACTATAGGTAAGTTTGAGTCTGTCAAAAAATGCCTATAAAATCACAGTATTGGAACACCAGTTAGCTTGAAAATCACAGGTCGTAGCTTACTAAATGTCTCCAAATACATCTTCTAAAATCTAGCCAGAGGGCAGTTAGAAGCTACTTGGCAATTTTCTTGGTAGGGATCCGTAACAGAACTGGGCATGTGGCAGGTAGGCCAAAATAAGGATGCTGATCTACAGAGAGCTGAGGTTACTCCTCAGGCACACAGCAGTAGGACTCACTGTAGTAACGCTTCAAGAAAGCCTCAAAAGAAATTGCTGACAGTCCTTCAGAATCCATTTCCAACACACTTATTTTTTCACCTTAACTAGCTAACATCAGTTCATTCATTTCCTGCTAGTTATGTCGCACATACAAAGCCAGCTGTAATCAGGTGGCTGACACTCCATTTCTTATGAAGGCTCTTCAACTTGTCAGAAGAATTGGAGAAAAACACAGAAGACTAACTTCTGGCTGGCAGTTTTAAACTCTGCTGTGACTTTATTGGTTCTTCACTGACAGAATATATAATACTCCAGAAAAGTTAAAACACTTTTCTAAACCCACACGATCGGATGGGGGGAGTCTCAAACAAAAAAATACATCATCCAACTAAACCCCACCTTTGTAATGGCATAAATAAATATGTTTCCAAAGTCAGAAAGTTGGTCACGAATTTAATAGTTCACTGCTTTTGTTGCTTTTTATCTCATACAAAACTTGGACTGATTGGTGGTTATTAAGTGCTAGATGTTTCTGCCCAAGTTTCAGATTGATCTATGGAATAAAATCTTGTTTATATTTTTACTGACCCACAGTAACGCTAATATTTATATATTTTTTCCTAACTGTACTAAACCTGGTATTTTAATACATTGTCTGTTCTGAACTCCTTGTCTCTTCCTAAACTTACACTTCCTCTGTTTGCTTATAAGAAGAATTCATAGTGAGTTATTTGTAGCATCATAGCTATTGTACTGCTCTATGAAGTGAGGAAATTCTAAAAATAATCATTTTATCCAGTATCTTTCTGTAGGCATTGTATATGTTAATACCTGTGTGGTTGCAGTAGATAAAAGCATTTATTTAAACATCTGTAGGATTTTAAAAACCAATCTGAGGGCGCAGAATGTCCAAGATGACTGTCATTTATAGGAGTATCTGGATGAGTGATACAACTCTTCCAGATACTCTGGTGCTAAGAGAGATCACGCTACTCGTCTAGTCTGTCAAGTTCTCCCCGGTGTGAGCACCAAAGACTTAAGATGAGTTCTTGTCCTGCAGAATCACTTTTCCAAAATATGATGAAGGATAAAAAGTTGCCTTTAAACGGGTAGAAATGAACTAATTAAAGACAATAAGAAATGTCAACTGGGCCTTGCAGATCAGGAACTTTTATGGGTTACACCAAAGCAAATAGTGTGAGTTTAAAAACGTAAATTATACGTTCTCTGTAAGATAATCTTCACCTGTAATATTTATTTTAAAATTGCATGCTAATTTAAAGTGAGAGTAGAGCTGAGGAATGGTGCTAGACCGACCATTTGGAAACTACACCCCTTTTTTTAGCCACATGGCACATTTGGCACAGGACCGGGCCAGCTTCCACATTCAAGACTCTTTAATGGGTCTTGATTCTAGGTTAGCCTTAACGCACTTCCATCTCCCTGTCCATGTACTTACAGCTCTTGGCTTCAGCAGTTTAATAGCAGAGCCGCTTAATGATGATTGTGACTTGTGCTCATATTCCACAGTTCCACAGTATATGGAATACTGTAATTCCACATACTTCACAGTGTGGCACAGAGATGCCCAGACTGGTAGAAAATAAGTCAGTTAAGCAGTGCAGAGCTCTGTGTTACTGTGATGAAAGAGCTTAAGACCAGCATGGCTATCTCTGCCCTATGCAGCCATTGGCATCATAGCTTGTACCTGCTTACTCTTGTGCTACAGATGGCAGAAACTCCTTCTGCTCCTGGGGAATCATCTTCTCCTGTCGTGCAGAAGTCCAAAACCCATGGGCGTAGTTTGGGTGAGGTGCCAGGAGTGCATGTTGAGGGGAAGCTGATGAGTTGGCCAAAGCGAGGAGATGGAGGGTTAGCTGCTATATCCCACGGATTTCTGACTGTCAATTGGCAAGTGTATTACTTGTAATGCTATTTGTCAGTATGTATTTAAGTTAGTACTCGAGTGAGTGCTTTTCTCCATTTCCAAGTACCACACAGAGGTTGTGAGCAGGTAAACAGGCTCTAGGTTTGACAAGAAACTATTCTGCTGCAAGGTAGCAGCGGAGAGAAATGGGTGGAGATTTGAGTACACTGCAGAAAACGTTTAAGATTGCAGATAGGTCTCCTGAGAACTCACCTGAACTGGCTTGGTATGCCACTGTTTTACTTCAGCTAAAGCCTGATCTCTTCCAGAGAGGATCATGTTCAAGAGTTAGACCAGTCTGTGAGCGTTACACACTGCTCCTATTTATAAAGGAAAATATTTCTTCTTTTAGGATCAGATTTTCAAAGTTATTTAAGCATCTGAATTCCACTCCTAGACCCTCATTTTATACCAACTTGCTGTCATTTAGACCTGGAATCATAACAATGGCAGTAAATTATAATCCCTAACGGGAAACAACACAGTTTGCCTTTATTCAGGCAAGTGTTTAGGTAACTGCAAACGATTAAATGTTTTCCTAAATTTGGGTACCTAATTACAATTGCCTTTTCTGTTTAATATTCCTGCAAAAATAATGCAAAATGTTGCTATCAACATCTCTGGTAAATGTTTGCTAGCTGAAGTTTGTATGACTTAAACATGAACTTTTTCAGAGTAGACACGTTGCTGTGTCAGGCTTTGTAATGTCCCTATCACGTTACTAGGTTCCTAAGCCAACTTGGTTGACCAAATAGCTTATAGATATTTCTTGTCTTAAGTTGCACATCCTATTCTTGCCTACACTAGATGCATGTGACAGGTTTTTGTCCCCTTTTTCCACCGTTAGAAATTTGTACCGTCTTTCATTTTTTTATTTTTCAATCCCTGTCAATTCAGTGAGTCAGCTCAAATACTTTAAAGGTAAATCTTGAGAAATTCCTTACTGGAAAGCATGAGTTAAATTCATTTCAGAGGAAAAATATGTCGCAATAAACTGTATGTTTATCATTGGCTTTATATAAAAAATGTGTAATTCACAATGTCAGTATACAGAAGTGTTTAGGAAGTTATGCAAGTCCCATTTCTTACGCAGTGCTGCCCAGAGAGTTGTTCTCATTTTGTACTGTGCACTTGATTTCATTTGCCCAGGTATAGGACCTTTCATTTGTTATTACCAAAGCACAACTTTTCCATTTTCGCACTACTCTTCCAGTTTCTCAAGATGATATTGGAGCTAACCTCCAAATTGCTGTCAAACCCTCCCAGCTTGGTGTCAGTGGCACACTTGTGAGTTCTCTTTTGAAAGCTGGAAGCCTAAATGAACTGGCTAGGGCCCAGGACAGGTTCTTGTGACCTCCACTAAATATGCTCTCTTTATCAAAGGGCAAATCATTAACAGCTATTCCCTAAACTATTCTTTCAGTAAGTTTTGCTCCAGCTCAAGGTGACACCATCCATGTATTCTAATATAGTCCTATGATTTATAAGTATTGTTTATAACAATGCCACGTATGAAAAAGTTACTACAATAAAAATGTCACATCTACTGCTTCTTTTTATCCATTCAGCCATTTTCCCTGTCAGAAAAGTAAATTAGATTGGTTTGACATGAATTGTTCTTGCCAAATGTAAGTTGGCCCTGTTTATATACTACATTGTAGGTGGCTTAGAAATCGATTACTTAATAAAGTTTACAGATTCTTTTTCTCTTTAATAGCATTGGAGGGAATAACAGAATTTAACAACCTTTTTTTGATCCCAGTGTAACAAATAAAAAGAAAGGTCGTTTAGAATTGAAATAGACTTCATAATGGAGATACTCACAGAAGTTTTATGTTGCTGTGTTAGCCAGCAGCACAGTGATTACATAGGTCAGTGGAAGGGGTCATAAAAATACCAAAAATGCTTCCCATATGCATGGTCTGTCTCCCAAATTACTTAATTATCCATCAGCATTTATGTGTTAATGAGTAGGAGTCCTTTTTACATGGAATACAGAGAGGCTTGTTTCATCCCCTCATATTCTCTTACGAATATGAAGATGGAGGCCTCTTGCATAATTTCCTCCATTTACTTATTTCAGAAAGTCACCAGTGTTAATTTTTCTAAAAAGCTATGCTTTAGGTTATCCTATATCAGAAGCAGTTCAATTCTTTCCCTTCTTTTAGCAGACAGTGTTCTGATCTTTTCAGTAGAAATTTCTCAGGTTATCATTTATTCTGTACAATGTAATAAGATGGACCAAACAGATGCAAATCAATAATCCAAGAACAGGAGAGAAATATGGAAATATTCCTAACTGATACAGAATCAACTCTGTTAAGTGAAGAAAGAAAATCCCTAGGAAGGAAATGCTAAGCCACAAAAGGAAATGTTTCTAGTAGGTTATTTCCAATCTGAATGATAATGCATGTTCTATATTTAGGCATTCTAGAACTGTTTTCTATTTAAAAAATTAGACATTAAATAAAGAAAATCTGGACAACTTTCTGCTTGACTACTGTCATCAATATGATGGATACTTGCTGGTTGTAAGGTGAAGTGCATCTTGGCAATTATTTCAAATGGCACAAAATTTGAATGGAGCCTGTGGGTGTGTATGTGCTGGACTACCCAAAAGGCTAGATAGAACCGCAGACAGTAACTGTGTCCTTGGACAAGAGCAACGACAGGCAGGGAGCGGTGACTGGTGGCAGTCAGTCAGAACAATGACAGCCAGGGAGCTGAGCTCATGGAGAGTAAAATAAAATGGGACTTTGCAGAGCCTCATCTGTAAGAGCACTCAAGCAGAATTTTCAAGATGAACTGATGTCATATCATTTTAGTTTCTA